AAATGCTGGTAAACCCTTAAAAAGGTTTTTCTGTGGGAATTCTGTTCTTAGTGATGTCATTTCCAAAGATATTGCACTGTAGAATTCTAGAATTTTTGAAAGAAATGAGACATTAATTATTTTCTGGTCTAACTCATCTGATAGCATAAAATAAAACCCTAAAGTATAAATGACATATTGAAAGTCACATAATTTATCACCAAGACAACAGTGTTTTTTCTTGTTCATAATTTCACTTTATTTTTTTTTAAAAGGTGGGGGTCTTGGGCTGGGGTGTTGCTCAGTGGTACAACGCTTGTCTAGTGTGTTTGAGGTCCTGGGTTTGATCACCACTGGAAAAGAAGAAGAAAAAGAGGTGGTGGGGGGAAGTCTTACTTTGGTACAAGCTGGCCCTGAACTGCTGGGCCAAAGCAATCCTCCTGCCTCAGCCTCTCCAGTAGCTGGGACTCTAGGTATGTACCACCACTCCCAGCTTTGTCTAGGATTTTTAAATGCCAGTTTTCTATTTTAATTGTGACCTATGGTATACTGCTTCAATTTTACTTCTTTAACAAAAAACCAAAGCAATTGAGCACAATATTATTACTAGAAACTATTAATCTTTCTCCTTTTTATTTTTAAGCTAGAAAGGAAAATCAAATGTAGAATAATTATGATGGACTTTTCAAAGGAATAGACACCACAGATTTGGGGGTCAATCCTACTTTGAATCCCAAAATATATGGTTTCTTCAACCTAATCAGACAGGGAAGAATGTTGCCAGGTTTTTTGTTGTTGTTGTTGTTGTTATTGTTGTTTGTTTTTTAACCATAAAAGGAACATTTGACAAAAACAATTTAAACCAGTCACTTTAGGATAAGAAATATTTCCTAAATTAGTATAGCAACTTTGTTTCAATAATTTGTAATTAGGCACAAAGAATGAGAACTATATAGCCATTTCACCCTTTACATCTGAAGCTGGGCAGTAGTATGAAGTGGGAAAGAAATGGCAAATCTTAAAAAATCAAATGATAACCTCCTTCTAGCTGGAGAACGAGACAAGGAAAAACCACACAACCTCAGATTGTGCAATCTATAAGAACACTGATAAGACAGACAACTTGAACTTGCTTTGGAATTTACAATGGAATGCCTGCCTGCCTGCCTGTGAGACAGGAAGGAAAGGATCCATTTTAGTATCATGTGCAGTTGCATTTAGACCTAAGGAAAGGCTACCCATATGAATTTTTGAGCAATTCTCCATGGTGATGACAATGACTCTACATTTCAACTTTCCGTATTCTCAACACGCTACCTACAGCTCAAAGGCGTGCGGCATCTGCCCTGCGAGTCTGTGAACTCCTGATGCCTCTGCCTCTGTCTCACAAAGCCCCTTGCTTGCCAGGGGTTAACCACATCCTGATGTTCTGGAAGAAGTCTGCCAGGCAGCAGGACTGCTGCTGTTGATAGGAAGCCTCTTGTCAGACTGCAGACAGGAGCTGTGGGAAAACCCAGACACAAAAAAGCTCAGATAGGACCAGTGACAAAGATATCATCCCACTGGCCAGTGACTAGGAAGAGAATTCTTCCTCCCCACCAAATTTCACAGCTGGGAAAAACAGATATCTCCCCCCAAACCTCACCCCAAATAAATTTCATTTACTATCTCATCTTCAAGTGAGAATGAGTCACTAATGAATTAATGAATGCTATTATGCCAGCATAGTTGTAAAACTACTCTGCTGACATATAAAGATGCATTTTACCTTTAATTGCCGGAAGAAAACAGACAACTTGACTGTGCACCTAACTGGGAGAGGAAATGATAATTTCCTCCGTGCCACGTACATCATTCCCAACCCATCCTACCTAAAAATCCTGTACATCATGGGTTTATTTTTAATTTAAAAAATCATATTTTAAATTAGGTCCCGAAAAAGGAAGCTTGCATTTCTTATTCTTTTCAGAGTGGGCTGAGAAACGCTTCACCAGTGCATCTGAAAGATAAATAGGAAAACAAGCTCTCTTTTCATTTTGTTTTTGAATCAATACCCGAAATAATGACCAGAAGCAAAAACTCCACCGATGCGGCAGCAAGCAGGATGCTCGGCCCTTCAGCTCCATCTTTCCAGCGGCAGGTACTACAGCAGATAGATAATGTAGGACAGAACGACAAGACCTATGATGGCAAAGAACATCAGGATGAAAATATCCAGCATTGTGCCGTCCTGGGCTGAGGAGGCCCCTAGATGCTAGGGAAATACGAGCTGTGAAAGCGGAGGTCGCAGTCAGTGAAGAGAAATGGCTCCCTCACCCTTGATCCTGTCCCCTCCCCCTCCCAGAGACGGCGCCTAAGGGATGCTGTGACTCCATCAGCAGCCTACTCACCGCCCCCCACACACACACTACAGTCAACCAATCAGAAAGCCCGGGGTCGGTAACCAGGGAACTGCTACATTTAGGTCAGGCAGAACCTAAGAGGCTCAATTTCTTGGCAGGAACCACTCCAGCCTCTCTGTGCAGAATTGCTATCTGCATTTAGATGCACAGTATCTACATGGAGTCTGCTGCTAGGGGAGCAGAGAGGGAAGCAGATCTCTCTCCGGATCCCCTAGAAATGGATTCTCCTGGCTGCCTTTTTTCTTCCTTTTTCCTCTCACACATTTCTGGCTAAATTGCCTCAGCAGAATAATGACTGGTGGTTGGGTGGACCACTGGCAAATTCAGAGGTCACGTTCTCTGGAGACATAGACAAAGGTCTCATGGGTCTCAGGTGGCATCCCTGGGGATGGACTAGCATTTGTACAATTCCTACACTGTGCCAGATGTTACTTATGTGGTGTAATTTCAACCCGCCTGCAAGTCTTCTGTAGATGGGGCTCAGGTGGTCTGGAGCTTGCCTGATGTTCCTTGACTTAGCAATGGCTTACCTGGATCCGAATCGCACAAGTAGGTGCCCATACTCCAAAGTCTGTATGCTTTCTCCCTGCCCCAGACAGTCTGACTCAATGGGCGACCCTGACTGCACTGCTTGTTGAGTCACAAGACTTCATTTACAGGACTGACTTCCAGGTCTTTCTACCCTCTGTCTCTTCATCACCCACACTTTTATATTGTCAGGAAGCTTAGCACCATGCTATCCAGGGGACCCCAAAAAAATCTTCACACCCATCCCTGTGTAGTAAGTGTCTAAAAATGCAAATTCAAGTGTTTTCTTCTGAAGAAAAAGGATTGAGTTTTTTGGGGTTTTTTTTGATGGTGCTGGGGTTTGAACTCAGGACCTTGTGCTTCCTAGGCAGGCCATCTACCACTTGAGCCATGCCTCTAGCCCAGGATTGAAGTTTTGATATCTTATTTTTTCAGACTGTTGTTTTTTGCTGCTCTCTTTTGTAATTGTATCAGTTGTTTCCTATTTTTAATCTTTTTGACTTTTCTTTGAGGCAGGGACTCACTATGTGACCATCCTGGCCTCAGACTCTCAATCCTTCTCCCTTAGCTTCCTAAGTGCCAGGATTCTAGGTGTACCTATAATTAGCCACAATGCCTGGCTAATTGTTTCCTATCAAATTATATCCCTGGGACACCTCTAACTCCTGGTCTTCCTTGGCCTCACCCCACATAGTCCTCTTGAAGGGCCCGGGGGTTAAGACATTGGTACTTCCCTTCACAATGCTAAACCTTAGGAATTTAGGCCACTTCCACAAGGGGGTCTAGAAACTCCTCCCATTGGCCCATCCCAGATGGAGCACAGAGCTTTCTGTGAGCAGGGAGACCACTGCCTGCCCCCTCCAGTGGCTCAGGTGACAGGTGACAGAAGCAAGCCACGAGGCAAGCAGCTCTGCCTACTTCTCCGCCTCCTGTTGGCAACATAGTAAGCAGCCAGCAACTTTTTTGTGGGGAGCAGTGTCACTGCTACCTTTAATTGTGTCACCTGGCATAGCCTCTGGTACTCCTCATACTGATTTTAGGCCACATCATTCTCCTGATTATACATGCCTAGCCCTGAGGAAGCCCTGTCCCTCTCTACCTGCTGTACTGAGATAAAGAGAACCCTTTAATGGGGAGCCCCAAGAGGGAAATGCCCCTCTCCACAAAGCAGCTGGATTAGAAGCCACTGATGGTACAGAGCGGGGACCTAGGGGGCTGAATTTTCTCTACCATGGTCCCCTTCCCAGCCCCACTGAGCAAGAGGAGAAGTCCACTATCAGACCCTGGGCTCCTGAAGCCAAACCTGGAGCAGGAGAGTTGAGTATTTAGAGATGCCCAGGGCAGGGGACATGGCCCACCAGCACAAGGAGTGTGAGACTGTTAGCATCACTCTGGGGTCCTAAGGCCCTAGCTCTCCTACAAGCTGTGCAACTTCCACTGAGACCCTTTGCCTTTCTGGCTTCAGTGAGCACCATTCAGATGGACATCAAATTAGTTCCTTCCCTTACAGTAGGATCATTGGGAAGATCAAAAGATGTGCTGAAGTCACATTCCTAAGGCATTCTGAGGACTGCTTTGGGTTGTCAGGCCACTTTATGGAGGGCTTTATCCCCCTGTAAGCTCTTTCAGCCTGTCATTTCACACATATGCTGAGCTCCTACCACCTGTCCAGCAGTGGCATGGGCAGGGCTGGAACTGCCCCAACCTGAGTGCCTTTGCTCGTTAGATTCAAGTACTTGTTGAGTTTCAATTATTTGTTGAGTATTTGTTGCCCATGGCCAGGAACCAAGGACTTCAAGATGAATTAGACCCATCACTGCCTGAAGTTCACCTTCTACTGGGTAGGAAGATGCTTAACTAAGGCAGTGTGACATTAAGAGAAGACTGGGAAGCAGGGCACCAAGTGGCTCAAGCCTGTAATCCTATTTAGTTGGTTGAGATTGGGGAGGATCTTGGTTCGAGGCCAGCCCAGGCAAATAGTTCATAAGACACTCCCCATCTCCAAAATAACCATAGCAAATGAACTGGAGGTGTAGCCCAAGTGGTAGAGCACAAAGCCCTGAGCTCAAACCCCAGTCCCACCCAGAGAAAAAAAAAAAAGACTGGGAGCTCAGGTTATGTCAGCCTTGGATCTGGGAGTGTCATCAGGTAGGGCAGAGAGGAGTGGTGGAAGCCAGGATCAGGTTGGAAGAAAGTTCTCAACGAGGAGGCAGGTGTTGGAGCCTGGTGGGGAGCAAAATACCCCTTGGCTTCCAGACTAGTCCTCTCCTTAAGCAACACACGGCAATGGACCAATGACTCCAAACAGACAGGACACACTCACACACACAGCACAGCACAACACAGCAGAGCCAGAGAGGAAACCAAGTCCGCAGGTAAAAATTATATTTTTATTTGAGTCACCAGGAGAAAGATTCAGTTGTGGTTCAAGTCAATGTTGAGAATCCTAACAGGCCAGAAAGATCTGATCATGAGCACAAGCCCACAAGGGAGAGGACCAAACAGACCCAAGAAAGACAACCCATACAAAAGATGAGTGAGTGGCTTTACACACACACACACACACACACACACACACACACACACACACACACACAGATGAAATGTTTGGACAGGTGCATTTCACAGGGTCACTTGTTTCTTTTTAAATACAGGCTTTATGGGATGGTACTTTGCTTTTGTTTTGTTTTTTCAGCTATAAAAAAAGGCCCAAAAGTGCTTATGTGAAGGGGGGAAAGGCAGAAATTAAGCAAGAAAGTTTTCTCCCTGGAGGGATGTGGGGGATAAACAGGAAGCAGTGTTGGGAGAATTCAACACCATCTGACTTCTTGCATTGTAGAATTGGTCCACAAAAGTTAGGTTCACATTCTAGCTCTGAGGCGTCTTCTTCCTGGGATTAGATTGGCTAAAAGACCTCTGCAAAGGAAGAAAAAGACCAGGGGCTCAGCCCAGCCCTCGGGGTTCTGTGTTCTTTCTAGGGGTGCATGGTTCTGGGAAGGAACTTGGACTCCAGCAGCCCTGGGTCCCTCAGCACCAGTGTGACAGTCCCTCCTCACTCTGGGGTATGTGTGAAAAAGTGGTCCCCATTTTTAGGACAGAAGAACACAGGGAGCAGCTGGCTTGCTCTGCTTTGGAAGGGAGTTTAGCTGAGTGGAGGTCTCTGGCTCCTCCCACATGCCTACCACCCTCTCAACTTCAGGTCCTTCAACAGAGCTTCCTGACCTGTTCCCAGACCCACATTGTGCTTTGAGATCAAGAGGAAATACAATGGATCAGTACCCCCCGCCCCAAGACTCCCAAGATTCTCCTCTGCCCTCTTGTTCTCCAGATTGCCCAGTAGCACACCCCACCTGTCATCACCTAGGCAGGAGCCAGAAAGAAAAGGAATTATCAGGCAGGGGCTCCTTCAGTCATTTCTTCAACCTTCCTTGCAAAGAATACTCCAAGACACACCACTAACACAAACATCCTTGGCTAGGAGGCTAAATAAGACATCACCTTGAAGCCCAGCCCTCTCCTGCAGGGCACCAGTCCATAGGGGAACTGGATGTTGGACTCAGGATGAAGATGGGAAGGGAAGACCCAAAGAGGGGACAAGAAAACCCAGAGACGAGTAAAGCCAGGTGCAGCCTGTCTAGCCCCCAGGTGGGAGAGAGAACCTGGATGTAGCACCACCTCTCCCTTTCTCATCCTGGAGTCGGTGCTTCCAGTTTTGTAACCCTAGGACCCTCTCCCTTGCTACAAGGGGGCTTTATGTAAGTGAGGGGGAGAGACTAAGTGAGGTACCATAGTGTGGGGGACCTGGGAGCTTCTGGTATCCTACTCCACAGCCCCAGACAGAGATGGGGAAGAGAAGGTACCTGCAACCCAGCCACAGGCTCAAAAGCAACCCCTACCAACTCCAACTCCTCAACCAGCTCTCACTTCTGCCCAGCACCCTGCAGAGGAGGAAGAATGGGGGCTTCCTCCATGTCTTGGAAAATCTCAGGGGAAGACAGCTCTGCGTCTCATTGCATCTCACACACACACACACACACACACACACACACACACCTGCAGACACACACCTTCCCACTCTTCTCATTCTCACTGTCACATTCTCCTGTCACAGACACCTGCAGACATGTTCACTCCTCTCCCCACATGCTAAGTCCTGGAGACACAGAGGTCCTTGCTGGCTGGACACAGAGTACCCCAGCTGATCAATATCCCACTGGAGGCAATCCCTGCCTAACCCTTCAGGACATGGTTTCCAGCCAGGGAGGCAGGCGAGAGTCTCTGGAGATTAGGAGAGGAGTGAGCAAAAGAGCTACAGAAGGAGAACATCCTGTTCCCCTCCTTCCTGTAATGGTCCCTAAAATTAAGAAAGGCAAGAACTTGACTCCAGCAGTGCTTCCCAGGGAGTTCTCTGCCCACCCCAGGCCTGCGTGGGCAGAAAGGATGGCAAACTCACAGTGTGAAAAGGAACACACATAGGGAACTCTGCTCTCCTTACAGTGCCCTCGAGGAGGTAGCGGCTGGGAAGAGAGCCCCTCAGTGGGCTGGTAGCCCCTTCTTTGAGAAGGAGAGGTAAAGCCCATCACACTGCCCCTACAAAACAGCAGAGCCCTCCATCCCCGTGCTAGGGGAAAATGCAGACAGCTGCCTGGGATCTGGGGCTCACCCCAGCCCCGGAATGTCTGGGCAAGAGAGGAGCAGGGAGGAGGGTCTGAGGGGTTGGAAAGAGAGGCAGGTGAGGCTGGGAGCCCACAGGTCTGTTCCAGCCCAGCCCTGCAGCCCTGCCATCCCCAGAGAGCCCAACCTGTTTCATCCAACGAGAAAACCAAGAAGATGGTGGAGAGGAAAACCTGCCAGAAGAAGGAGCCCGCAAAAGAGGCAGAACAAGGCTTCAGTTGGCAAAAGAAGCTGGAGAAGGGGTGGGAACAAACAAGCTGTCGCAGATCTTAAAAAACAGAGACACTGAAGGGGGACGGGTCAGGCCCCAGGACGGATGCGATGCCATGGAATGCACTGAAGATGGAAGGGGGGGGGGTGCCACAGGGCTCAGATGGCCTCCACATAGTTGGCTGGCAGCATCCCAGTGTCGCCGGTGCGCTCCACGGTCCCATACATCCAGCCATCATCGATCTGCTGCACGTTGACGATGGTGTCTCCATCCTGGAAGGAGACCTCGTCCTCATCAGCAGCACTGTAGTCATACACAGCACGGTACCGCTTCTAGGGAGGAATGGCACAGTGAGCTGGGGACCCAATGCAGGCTCTTCTGAACCCAGGGTTGGCAAGCACTCTGTGACTGAGATGTGCTCCTAGCCCCTGCATTCCTTTCTTGAGGAGCCTGGAGCAAGGCCTAGGGAAATACTGAACCAAGAGATAGGAGACCTGGGCTGTGCTCTCCTATAAATTTTCTCATGTCTGTCTCACTTTCTGAGTGCACTCACCCTTTTACAATGTATCTGGCATCTACTAAGGGTCAGACACAGGATAGGCTGAGGAGACAGCCTAATACAGTCAGACCCCACAGCACCACACTGCGACACTACCTCTGCTACAGAGGCTCAAGTAGCAAGTGTGAGGCCCTGAGTTGTGTTGCAAAAAGACCAAAAATGACATGCCAAGCCAAGTATGGAAGCACATGCCTGTAATCCCAGCACTCAGGAGGCTGGGTCAGAAGATTGAGAGTTTGAGGCCAGCCTGGGCTACACAGGGAGACCCTGTCTCAAAAAACCAAAACAAAACAGAGTTGGCTCCAGTGGTAGAGCACTTGCCTAGCAAGCCAGAGGTTCTGAGTTCAATCCCCAGTACCATAAAAATAAATGAAACAACTAAACCAAACAAACAAAGGTGACATGCTCAGGTCCTGGGTTTGATCATCAGCACTACAAAACAAAGAAACAAAGACAGAAAAACCAAAAAAAGTGACATGCTCTGTTTTTCTATGATTTAGACTTTTTTTTTTTTTTTTGCAGTACTGGCATTTGAACTCAGGGTCCTGCACTTGCCAGGCAGGTACTCTACCACTTGAGCCATGCCCCCAGCCCTGATTTGAATTATTATAAGCACCAATGTTTTCTTTTTAAAGCCATGATTAGTGTGGTTTCACTCCCAAATTAGGAACAGACTGTTCTTTGGGAGAAAAAACTTCAGGGGACATGAGACATCTTACGCTCCACCTTCTAACTCAGTCAAACCCTCTGCAAGCCCAGCTCAGAGAATGTCCAGGAAAGGCACATGACATCTGCCAATGGTGGGCAGGGCAGGGTAAGGGCTGACCCTTACTGTCCTTGACACTAACATGTCCAGGATTCCGCAGGACACAGCCCTGCAGGATTACAGATCATACTCTTCGGTCTCTCTTAGCACCAACTCTGCCTCTGTTTGGGACTAAGTTGCCACCACCACCTATGCCTGCATCTTGCAACAAGCCTCCTAATGTGTCCCTCCCTTGCTGCCCCCCTCAACCTTCCCTCTTCCCCATGGGCACCAGGGTGATTTTTTTTTTAGGCAGTACTAGAATCTGAACTCACGGCCTTGCACTTAGTAGGCCTACACAGATCACCAGTCACAAAGGCCTTTCTGTGGCCTACCAGCCCCAACAGGGTCTGACCTCATCTCCTACCCTCTTCCACTCTCTAGTCACCTTAGCTCTTCCTGCAGGTCCTTGGACTTTCCTAGGAGTCCTGCCTTAGGGCCTTTTTATTTGCTGTTCTCGCTGCCTCATTCACTACTACACTTTATTGAAGACTTTGCTCAAAAGTCTCATCTTGACTTCCCATCTGTGTGTCCCTTACCCTAAAAGCACATGTCACTATTTGGCCTGACATCGTACACTTACTGCTTTCTTACTGGAACGTAAGCTCCAAGAGGGTGAGAAGTGATCACTTTCCTGATGGCCAGGACAGGCTGGGCGAGTCTCTGGAGGACTGGCTGGTCCATCTAGAACCTAATCCTTCAGATGACTCCCCACCCCCCACAATAAGCACACCTGCGTGTGTCCGGGCACCAGGCTCTAGGAGGCCATTTCTCCCAGGCTATTTTATTTCTCTGTGTAGTTGTCTCTTCTGCTCTGACATGAGCATCTTTGAATTCCCAGGCGCCCAGCACAGAGTGTGGTGAGATGTGCGGTTACATCTTTCAGCTGGCACTTTTTCAAAAGATCACTAGCCAGGTCCCACCTTCCCTTCCTACCTGTGCTCCTTCGTTCACTCAGCAAAGCTGAGGAGCCCCGCTCTGAGCCTGGCGCAGAGAAGGTGAACCAAGGAGCGCTACCCTGCCTGCACCGGGACACGGAAGTTTGCAAACAGAGAGCTCTTATTTCAGTGTTTGTGGGGCTTGTGGAAGCCAGGGCCTGCGCAAGCCAGACAAGGGCTCTACCAATGAGCTGCACTCCACCATTTTGTTTTTGCTTTATCATTTTTAAGGTGAGTTGCTTCATGCTTCCTGAATCTACTAAAGCTTTTGCTATTTATTTATTTATTGATGGTGATACAGGGGTTTGAACTCAGGGCTTATGTGCTTGTGAGGCAGGTGCTCTACTACTTGAGCCACACCTCTACCCTGCCACCCTGCAGTCCAGTCTGGCCTCAAACTTGCCATGGTTCTTGCCTCGGTCTCTTGAGTGCTGGGATTACAAGTGTGTGATTCTACACCTGGCTAAAAAAACTCTTTAAATTGCAAAAAGTGCTCTAAAAGGAACTGGTGGGATCAAGTGACAGAAAATGTCAGGGGAGACCCACTTGACGTGGTATGGTCTGGCACAAAGAGATTTGAAGGACGGGGTTGGGGGAGGTGTCATCCTGTGCAAATGGGGGAATAGGGTCCAGGTCTGGGAGAGCTGAAGCAGAAAGGTGCTTCACCTGCACCCAGGTAGCCAGAATAGGGAAACAGGCCATGGTATTGGGAGTGACTTGCCTAAGGTACCCAGGGCTGCAACACAGGGCCCCAATCCAGACCCAGGCCACTCCACCACACTTCCGGTCAGTGTGAAAGCTGAGAGCTCTGTTACCCACACAGATGACAGAGGATGGGGTCGAAGGTCAGGAGAATCTATGAGCTGTGTCCAGGAGGCCCACCAGCCTCTAGCCTCCTCAGGCCTCCAGTCTCCCACCTCAGCAGGATTACTTACCCCACCCCCTCCTGGGGCACTGCGCTGTATGGAGACTGGGGCTGCCGGCTCCTTGTAACCACCATAGGACTGGGTGGGCTGCTGCTGCTGGGGCTGCTGGTAAACTGGAAGGTGTGGGGAGGAAACAGGGCTCAGAAAGTGTCTTGTCAAACAACCCCAGCCCCTCCATGAGGCACGAATTTCCACCTCCCCCCCAGCCTCACTCAATCCCTACTCTTTCATGCCTAGACATACATGTTTGCTGGTGCTGTCAATTCTACGTCAGGGGCTGTGTGCCCCATCACCTGGGGGCTGCCCTCCTGATCCTGCCCCCAGGCAGGGATGGGGCCTGAGGGTTTGGGAGATGGTCCTCCACATGTGTGCTTGTGCATGCGTGCCTGCCTGGGGCTCCTCTCCAACCTCTTTCCTAATGTCGCATTGGCCCCACCTCAGGTCCTATGTCCCCACAGGCTGACACTCACCAGGGGCACTGGTCGGGATGTGGTGAGGCTGCAGCTGCTGCTGCTCTGGGGGCCGCCGGTAGCTGCTGTCCTGGGAGTCTCGGCGCTCTGGCTCCACGCCCTCGCCCCCGCTGGGGCCCATGCGGCTCTTCTCAAACTCCTCATGGTATTTGATCTGCAGGGTGGAAGGATCTGGTGAAGGATTCCCCTTCTGTTGTCACTTAAGCTGGGCACGGTATCACATGCCTGTGGTCCCAGTTAGTGTAGCGGCAGGAGGATCACTTAAATCCAGAAGTTCAAGGCCAATCTGGGCAACACAGTAAGACCCCAGTTTTGGGGGGGAAATCCCAGAATGGGACAGATTCCTGGAGGAGGGCTCCAAGCAGACAGAGCACCAGCTGTGTGCATTTTGGACAAGCAACTTAATTTTGACAAGCCTCAGCCTCTACCTCTAAAAATGGGACATCGGTATCTACCTCTGGATGCAATGAGATGACAGCTGTCAAAGAACTGTGTAAATGAAGGCATCAGACAAATGTGAGTTTCAGCCCAGTGCCGGTGTCTCACGCCTACTACTAGCTACTCAGGAGACAGAGATCAGGAGGATCTTAGTTTGAAGCCAGCCCTGGACAAATAGTTTTTGAGACCCTACCTTGAAAATACCCATCACAAAAACAGGCTAGTGGAGCGGCTCAAGGTGAAGGCCTTGAGTTTAAGCCCTAGTGCCAAATGTGAGTTGTCATTTGTATGTACCTCTGGTAGGACTAGGTCTTCCCTGCTTCCAACCTGATTGACAGGAACAATAGCAACTCCTGTTTATTGAGCCCTTAATATGTTCCAAATGTTGTGCTGGGTGTTTTAAGTCACAGTCTGCCCATTTTATCAGGGCAGCACCTGACAGAATGAGTCTGCCAAAAGACTGGCTGAATACTCCTGTTGGTGACATACATTTCAGCATAATCTTCCCAAATACGTAATGTTTTATAAATCTCACAGAAGTATCACTTTACAAATGCGGAATGCATATTGTAAAACACACACGAATGACAAAAGTATGAGATGTAGAAGCAGCCAACACAGGCATTCTAGAGCTTTCTTCTTGCATCCTCATGGGGACCCCCCCTATCCCTTTCACAAAAGAAACTAGCAGGAGAACAAACAGTAAAGATTCTAAGGCCCAGGGACTGAGTGTTCTGTGGCTTCTGGGCTGGCCAAGGGACAGGGAGGAAGTAGAGCAGAGTGACTTGGAAAGCAGGACAGCCAGAGAAATTGGTCTTATCTCAGAGGTCCTAACCTAGAGGTCCTATCCCAGGGGATGGGGGGAGGGGGGACCTGCCAGGTGGTGCCTCTCACTTCCTGTTCACCAGGATCCTGCTTTGCCTTTTCCTGATCATGGAAAATGGTGGGGGGTGAGGGGTAGGGAAAGGAGCAGGGCAAAGCCTGCTGTTTCCTAAAGTAGTAGGGAGGAACTGGGGACTCTGTGACCTGGAAGCCCTGGCCAAGGCCTGGCCCATGCTGTCATGGCCTGGTGCAGCCTCCTTGGCCATCAACCCCCCCATGCTTTCTCTGCTGTCTTCTCTTGCCGTTAGCATTTGCTGTACACAGTGCGCAAGAGTTAACACTTGGCTCAAGCAGGGCAGGGAGCTGTGGCCAACTGGGAACACCTGTGTCGCTTCTAAGGCTAAATAATGGGTCTTTACTGCAGACTGGGCTGGGCTGGGCTGGGCTGGGCTGGGGGGCAGGCAGGGCAGCCTGGATGGTGTATGGGAGAAGTCTGGTCTGAAGGCAGACAGCAGCTCTCTTAGGGGTTTGGGTACTAACTAGCCAGCCCTATTCTCCCTGTCCCTTCTTTTTGTGACCAATCAGGGACCCATACTCATATGGCAAAAGAGGCCAAGCCTATTCCTTTCAAAGAGAATGAAAGCCCATTGGACCCCCAACTCCCACTCACAAGGGGTGTGAACGGCCAAAGACCCTCATTCCTTGTGACCCCTGCCCCCTGGTGGTGGGGAGGGAAACCGCTCCTGACCTGAAGCCTCCAGGCTCACCAGGCCTTTCTGATTTTTGTCCCAAAAGTCCTGGGAGTGGGAAAAGCAGTTTCCCTTGTTTACTTTCCCGTAATGAAAAAAGCCCTGACCCAAGAACCAGTGACCAGTGAGGAAAGTGCAGAAGTGGAGGGACAAACATCTAGGCTGGGCCCTGGAGGTGCCAGCAGGTGGCCTTCCAGCTGTCCTCAGCACTGGGGGTCCAGCTACCCTGGGCCACACCAAGGGCTCTGCCCAGCCAAGAAACAAAGACCCGCCTCTGTCCTTCATCGCTGTCCTGTAGGCTCACTACTTCATCACGCCTCAACCCTTTCTTTACTCTTGGGACTTTTTTTGAGTCCCTTTCCCCTCTGGGCCTCAGTTTCCTCAGCTGTAAATGAGGCCATGGTGCTATCTGCTCCCAGGTGATCCTGAGGATCCTCTACCCACTCCGAAAGCAAGTGTGGACACTTGTGTATTTCCACAAATGGCTAATAAAATCCATTCCTTAAAAAATCACTACCCACGGATAAATGTGTATAAAAATAGGGCCCAAAGATCCAGGCAGCCAACACAGTGGTGGCCTGAACACAAGACAGCCTCCCCTGCTACTAAAATATTAACAAGCTTCACATCTGCACAGTTCTGCATCCTGAGGTCACAAAAGCTCTTCACATATAACCTCCCAACTGACAATGGTCACCCTAAAAAAATAAGTTGGAGCTGGGGGCTGGTAGCTCATCTCTGTAATCCTAGCTACTCAGGAAGTAGAGATCAGGAGGATCATGGTTCAAAGCTAGTCTGGGCAAATAGTTCGTGAGACCCTATCTTGAAAAATTCCAATACATAACAGGGCTGGTGGAGTGGCTCAAATGGTAAAGTGCCTGCCTAGAAAGTGGGAGACCCTGAGTTCTAAACCCCAGTACCTCAAAAAAAAAAAGAAAAAGAAAGAAGTTAATCATGTACACTTTGGTTCTCATTTTACAGAGGAGGAAAAAGTGCTAAGGGAAGCTGGAGACACAGGTCAAAGGCCTGAGGACAGGCATGGAACAAGGCGACCATATGCCCACGTGCCCCTAGTCCCAGTTTCCATCTGCGGGTTGACACCTCCACTTCGTTCCCCTCCTTACCCAGCAAATGAGGAAACTGATACTGCTTTGCTGGCCCACCTAATGGTTTGTTAAGCAAATAGACAAAGAAGCATTCTCCAGAATCCAAGGGCCTGGCTGATCACTGCTCCCAGCTCAGCCAAGTTCTGATTGTGTAAGAGCTCTGAATGAGAGTCACCAAAGTGGAGGCATTGACAGCATCCCAGAGTGTGAACTACCCTGGGATCCATGGAAGGTCACACATGTTCCAACTGTGCCATGAGGTCCAAGTACACCTGGGTTCAGGGCCCTGGGCCCAAGGACCCGCCCCACTCTGCCAGGCTCCTACTAGCCAGGACGCCAGGATGACTAGGTAGGGTCCCCTCCAAAACTCTGCTGGCTGAGGTTCCGATTTCTGTAGCACCTGCTTCCTGATTGTGGTGGAAAACAAAAGCCTGACTCCCACATGATTCTACATCAGGACTCAAGAGGGAGTGTCAGGCTTTGAATAGAATAACCAACTCATTGGCCTGGGCCTTTTTTTTTTTTTTTTTTCCCTAAACATTTGTTGAGATCCTATTTTGGCCCTTATATGGATTACTCCTTTTCTTTCCTCAGCCAGCCCAAGAATCACGTATTATTCTCATTCTCATTTTCCAGATGGGGAAACCAAGGCTGGAGAAGTGGGTAAGTAGTGGGTTAAGTCAGAATCCAGTTCTAACCTCAGGACCTTAGTTCTTGACCACCATGCAATACTGTTCCAATTAGACTCACAATACTTTATAAAACTTGTTCTATGGTGGCACAGGCTTGTAACCCCAGTACTAGGGAGGCTGAGGCAGGATGATGGAGAGTTTGAGGCCAGTCTTGGCTACACAGAGACCTTATCTTAAAAACAAAAACAAACGCAAACTATAAAGTATGTTTCACTGGGCACCAGTGGCTCACACCTATAATCCTAGCTACTTGAGAGGCTGAGATCAGGAGGACTACAGCCCAGGAAAATAGTTCTCGAGACCCTAGCTCCAGAGTAACCAAAACAAAACGGATTGGAGATGTGGCTCAAGTGGTACACCACTTTGTTTGCAAGTGTGAGCCTGAGTTCAAACTCCAGCCCCACCCAATAAAAAGAAAGAAAAGTACATAGCTTTCAAAATCAAACCAGAGAATTATCCAACAAGCCTACCTCCCACCCATTTGACTTCTGGGGATGACACTGTTCAACTATTTACTACTGATCAGGCACAGACTCTGAAGACTAAAGCTAACTTTCAGAACAGAAAATGGGAATTACTTCTGACTGACAGAAAGACAAAGGATTTCTCTCTGTAGCACACATATCTTCAAAGTTTATGATTTTATTGTCCCATAGGACATCAGGCAGTACAGCCAGCAACACTGAGTCCACCTCTTAAGCATTCACCTCTGCCTCTCTATTGGCCAGTCAAGTCTCTAGCTAGTTATAAATACAAGGTAGGAGCTTGTTATAGGAAAGCCATGGTTCTAACACTCTTAAAACTATTTTGACCAGGGTACAGGAACACAACGTTATTCCTTTATTTACTTATTTAGTAGTGCTGGGGAATCAAACCCAAGGCCTTATGCATGCTAAGCAAGTACTCCACCACTGAGCTACACCCCCAGCCCCATTCTATTTCTGGATTTGCATGGTGAAAAAACAAGTATTTACTGTGTGTTATATTTCACAAAAGAAAAAGTTAAAAGACATGAAATACAAAACTGTATACAGAGAAGCAATGCCTTAGTGAACATGTAAGCTCTTCCAAGGCGAGCTCAGGGAGGACCGAAACCTCCCGTGGAGCAGAAGAGCAAAAGCTCGCTTGATCTTGATTTTCAGTACGAATACAGACCATGAAAGCGGGGCCTCATGATCCTTCTAAAGAAAAAATAAAATAAAATAACATGCAAGCTTTTGTAAAAACAGAGGCTCTCACAAAGGAGCTCCAGTAAGTGAAGTTTCTTACCCATTAACGCTCTTAGGAGCTGGGCATAGTGGAGCACATCTGTAATTCCTGCTATGTGGGAGGTGGAGGTAGGAGGATGGAGGTCCAAAGCTGGCCCAGGGAAAAGCAAGAGACCTTATCTGCAAAATAACTAAAGCAGAGTTGGAAGCGGGGCATAATTCAAGCAGTAGAGTATCTGCCTAACAAGCACAAAGGCCTGAGTTCAAACTCTGATGACACCAAAATATAAAAAACATTAAAAAAAAACAAAACAAGGGGGAGGTGGTGGCTGGCAGAGTGACTCAAAAGGTAGAGCGCCTGCCTAGAAAGCATGAAGTCCTGAGTTCAAACCCCAGTACCAACCCCCACACCCACCATGAGCCCTTAGAGCTCATGACCCAAGGTCAGGATTCCAAACATACAGCCTGCATCCTTCCCTACCCCGCCCCCGCCTGCACCCACCCAGGTGCACAGGGTTGGGCCTCTCAACCCTTCAGATGTCTTTAATGATGACACAATCACCACAGATGTATAACTAAGTTCCCTTCCCAAAACTTCCTATATGTTCTTAGTATTAGACAATGGCCGATTTCAGCCAAAAATGATGTCCCTTCATATTTTCTCTCTCCCATCTCCCTCTCCCTCTGGATGGTGGGGGTCACATTCATGACTTTGTGCGTGCTAAGCATGAGTTCCACCACTGATCTGCACTCCCAACTCCTCTACGTCACCCTTCTTCAGTCACAGTGTAGAAAGCAGACATATATCCATTTAAATTACGTTGTTAACAACTTATCACAGGGAACACCTTACTTTTACAGATGAGGAAACTGAGGCTCAGGGCTGCCCACCCAGTTGTGGAATGACAGGAGCTAGGATGCCAGCCTTTGTGTCTCTTCCCACCTTGCCACCTTTGCCTCCTGGTTAGGACTGAGGACAGACTGCACATGGCTCGAGCAAACACCCGCTGAGGAGGCCAGACACTTGTTTGTCAAATGCTCAGCTGGTAAAATGTCTGCAGCTTATTCCTCCAGGGCAGCAAATATCTCTACCACAAACAACACCCAGTCATTGGGTACTAATCTGGGAAGAGACAAGCCACATACAGGAACGCTATTTTGGAAACAAAACACAAGGTCTGGCTCTGAACATCATCTTTCCAAAGCTCTTACAACTTAGCCACTGTTCTGAGTGTGGCTTAAAGTTTCCCTGGGGTTCTGGGCCATGGCCAGGTCTGGTGTCCTGATTTAGAAGTTGGTGAGGTCTTTTTGGAGTTGAAGAGATAGCTCTCAAACTTCAGTGAGCACCGCAGGAACCCAGGGGATGTGACAATGCTGGTTCCAAGGCCCCGCTCCACCCATGCTAATTCAGGTGCAGGGGAGGGGAAGAGCTTAGTTCCATTTGCTCTCAATGTCCCGGCCACTGGTTATTCTGACAGAGCTGTTTCATTTGTTTTGAGGCCCAGGTTTGCCACAGATAGACTTTTAACTGCATTCATTATAACCAAAGAGAGTCTTCCAGCTTTGTGGTCACACTTCACAGGTTCCAGGCTCAGCTGCAAAAGCAGCCACCAGATCAGGTTCGGCTCAAAGCTGAAGACCATCAGTTAACTGCAGCCCTGTGGCTGCTGATAAGATGGTTATCTCCCTAGTGTGACAGCCCTGGCCACAGAGAGTTTTTGTTACTAGGACTTCTCAGACTAAATTAACACCTCTGATAATGGGGGCTAGGGCATCGGGTGAAATAGGCTGGGAACAGAGTATTCTCGAAGCCTTCTAGAAAGGGAGGCAACTGGGCTTGCTTGTCTCCCCTCCTCCAAAACTCACAGGGAAAAGCAACGTTAGTGCACAAGAAGGCAAAGACAAGAAGAGTCATCACACTGCAAAGCCACAAGGTTCCAGCTTCGTGAGCCCCTCCAGGTTTTCCTGTCACCCAAGGCCATCCCCTCACCCCCATCCCTGTGACCTCAGGCCCTATGACCTCAGGCCACCAATTTCAAACTGTAGGCTCACAACTTAGTTACCAAACCCAGTCAGTTCATAAGTAGTACTCAGTACTCAGCAGCTTTGCGAAATAAGAGAACAGAAAAGATCTGAATGAGGTCTCCAGTAGAAAATACTCACTTGTGAAAATTTTTTTCTTTGTGAAGCTGGGGATGGAACCCAGGGCCTCAAACATTCTAGGCAAAGACTCTACCACTGATTTACACCCCAGCCCTGTTCATGAAAGTTTTGTTTTCTCTATAAATAAACGCATGCCTATTTGGTGGGTCCCAATGTAAAATGTCTTTTTGTTTGTTTTTTGAGATAATCTCCCTATGTAACACAGGCTGTGAAATCATGATCCTCCTGCCTCAGTCTCCTCAGTTCTAGGATTAAAGGCATGCATCATTATGCCCAGCAAATATGTATATATGTGTGGGTTGGTTTTTTTTTAGTACCGTAGCCCCAACGTGTTTCTTACTAGAGGCAGAATTCAGAGTTTGAAAGCCACTCTTGGGTGCAGTTGGTTCTGCTGGCTGCTCTGCCATTCTGAAATTCACGTGATCTCCCATTGTGGTCCACTCTAGGCATGGCCCAGTCAATTTCTAGAAGGAGCATCCAGCCAAGAAAGCCAGGTGGAGGGATGAGAAGGGATGTAGAGCTTACAGTGACAGTGACCAGGGCAACTCATCAGCCCCTTCCATTTACGGACATGATCATACTGCTTTGCTCAGTCCTTCATTTGCAGGACGCCCTGGCCATGGCTGGCTGAGAATGTCCTGCAGCTCTGAGCACAGGCTCCTGCCTGTGTTCTGAGGTTATGGCTTACAGCAACACCCTACACATGTCCCCCAAATAAAGCCCCCAACAAGTCCAGAGCCACACGGGCTGCGGGTCTGTGGTTCTCTGCCAAGAAGGAAATTGACACCTGTTCTCTGGCCCCAGCTGCTGTGGAGGCCATAATGTGGAGACTGTAGCTCCTTGGCCCACTCTCGATAACCACCCGTGTCACCAGGGCTGAATGGGCAATGCTGACCAGCCCAGACCCAAAGGGGGTGGACCAGGGGTGCGGGGCCAGTGCTTGAAGCCAGCTAGGGTTTTCACACAGGAAGGAAGAGCAGCTGAGGTGGGAGGCAGGCGAGGGAGGGAGGAAGTGGCTGCATTACCAGCACCCAGAGGCAGGCAGGAGGCAGCTCTCCCTGCCCAGCCCCCAGTTTTGACCTTTGTGCTAAAATGAAGCATACAGTCTACACCCTGACACCCGCCAAACCTGGAAACAAGAAAGCCAGTTTCAGACAGTGTGCGGTGACTTAGCACACAGTCCCTGCCCTGCCCACCCCATAGAAGGGCAGCCCCTTCAAGGTGGAGGTGTTGTGTGGGCTGAGTGTGGCAAAGAGGGAGCACAGAGAGAAGGTATCTGGGAACCCCAACTCTTCCCTTCCCTCTGCTCAAGCGGCTGTCAGCCAAGCCCTGTTGAGAGGGAGATAGAGGACAGTGTGGCCACCACAGCAGGGGGCAGGCACTCACGTTGCTGATTTGGTCCTGGGTCTTCTTGATTCTCTGCAGTTCGGGTGTGTCTGCCACCACGCTGAAGCCTTTGCCCTTGTTCTTCTCAAACTCCTCCTTGTAGCGCACCTGGGGGCCAAGAGGGAGGAAGAGAGACTGGGGTCAGCAGATGAAGACACAGGAGCCAGGAGAAAGTTCCTGGCCAGAAATTTCCAACTCAAAGCAGAGGCTTTGGTCAAAAAGTGTTGGAGCAGCCGGGAGCCAGGGGCTCATGTCTGTAATGCTAGCTACTCAGGAGGCCAAAATCAGGAGAATTGCAGTTCGAAGCCAGCTCCAACAAATAATCTGCGAAACCCTATCTTGAAAAAACCTTCATACAAAAAAAAAGGGCTGATGGAGTGGCTCAAGGTGTGCGTCCTGAGTTCAAGCTCCAATACCACAAAAATTAAAAGAACTGTTAGAGCAATAATAACCCACTAACATTTATCAGTGTGTTCTGAGGGACAGGCACAGCATCAAGCGCCTACGTAAAACATTTCATAAGTCTACACATAGACACACACAGTACGCCCCATTTTCTTTTTTTTTTTTTCCATTTTTCTTTTATTATTCATATGTGCATACAAGGCTTGGTTCATTTCTCCCCCCGCCCCCACCCCCTCCCTTACCACCCACTCCACCCCCTCCCTCTCCCCCCCCTCAATACCCAGCAGAAACTATTTTGCCCTTATTTCTAATTTTGTTGTAGAGAGAGTATAAGCAATAATAGGAAGGAACAAGGGGTTTTGCTGGTTGAGATAAGGATAGCTATACAGGGCATTGACTCACATTGATTTCCTGTGCGTGGGTGTTACCTTCTAGGTTAATTCTTTTTGATCTCACCTTTTCTCTAGTACCTGTTCCCCTTTTCCTATTGGCCTCAGTTGCTTTAAGGTATCTCCCATTTTCTAGATAAAGAAACTGAGCCGCCCAGAGGCATTATCTCCTGCTTTAGGTCACATAACTTAGCAGCAAATGTCCAGAGCCACCAATATACAAGTGTTCGCCTGCTTGACTCCTGACCCTTCTAAAACTATAGGAAGAAGGTTCTTGCCAGCGCTGCAAGGTCTGCCCAGCCAAGATGTGGTCCTACCAAGAGCCTGGGGGGAGTTTTTAAGTGACCAGCTGAGTGAAAGCTGTGCCAAAGAACAAAGTTGGTGCCCAGAAAGGAGGATGGTGAGCCAGCAACAGGAAAGGCTCCATCAATGAGCCTTTGACAGGCTTCAGCGGCTCCCTGGAGCCTGCCAGGCTGGCTTCTCAGGCCACTGCCACAAGAAGGAAATTACTACAGGATGACAGCATTTCAGAACAGGGGGTCTAAGCTCTGGGCTTCCTCAACCACCCCACTACTGCCCTTCTCTTCTAAGAATTCGAAAACTCAAGTACTAGAAGGACTCAAGTCAGACATCAGAAAGGACTTCCCTGACACTAAAGGAATCAAGATTATGAGGAACAGTTTGTCCTCCCCTGGGGATTTGGAAGAACAAAACAGAGGCTGGGAAATACTCATGGGACAGGGAACTGTTCTGGACTCAGATCACTGTCCACCTCAGCAGCCATCTGTTCCAGGCCTCGCCAGCTGCCTGGATTTCCTCCACAGGGGCTTCTGGGGTCAGTCCAGGACATGACGACCAGGATTTTGGGAGTTTCCAGAATAACAAGCCTAGAGTCATCCCCACAGCACTGAGCTGTAGGCACCCCAAGGACCTACAACACAGAGCCACACAAGTCAGGTCATACCCCAAGGGGCAGGGATCCTTGTGTGGGCTTCTTCCTCCTTTGTTCTGAGGCAGATTAAAAAGAAAGGCCTTGGGGCTGGTGGAATGACTAGTTGTAGAGTACCAGCCTAGCAAGCGTGAGGCCCTGAGTTCAAATCCTAGTACAAAAAAAAAAAAAGGGCTAGGGCAAGGAATATAGCTCAGTCCAGATGTCAAGCCCCAGCACCACACAATGCACACATACACGCACACATAAAAGGCTTAAACTGGGGCTTGGTGGTGCACGTCTGTTTGTAATTTCAGCACTCACTCAAAAGTCTGAGGAAGGAGAATGTCAAGTTCTAGGCCAGACTGTGCAACAGAGTGAGACCCTGTCGAGAGAGAGAGAGAGAGAGAGAGAGAGAGAGAGAGAGAGAGAGAGAGAGAGAGTAGAAAGAGAGAAGAAAGGCCTAGGTGCTAGGGGAGGGACCTTAGTTCTCAGTGCAGGGGTCATGGCCTCCCAGGCCACCCTGAGGACCCAGAACCTACCCAACATCTATCTATCTGATCTTCTAGGAAGGCTGGGCCAACACACAACTCTCAGTAGAGGAGCCTTTCAGGAAGGGAACATCAGAGAAGGTAAGGCTCACAGACAAAAAAAGAAAAAAAAAGGTGAATCCAGATGCAGAAGCCCTGAATCTAAGGCCTTTAGCCTCGGTTTTCTTATCTATAAAAAGAGACACCACAGGGATCTGTTCAAACATGGGGAGCAGGGGAAGCCAGGCAAAATAGTGCATGCCTGTAATCCCAGAATCAACAGGCTGAGGCAGGAAGATCATGAGTTCAAGACCAGGTTGGGCTACATAGCGAGACCTCTCTCCAAAAGAGGAGGGGTTGGGGGGAGATGAGATCTTCCCGCCATTAAATGTGGGTACAGAGCCAGACAGAGCTGGGACTAACAGGCTCCGTACCTTACTTGCAGAGTGATCTTGGGCTACTGATTCAACCTCCTGAGCCTCAGTTTCTACACCTGCAAAGTGGGGATCAATGATGCAGACAGTAGCTGTGAAGCAGAGGAGGCTATGGCACACACTGGTGAGGGCAACTGCGAAAGTGCTTTGTCAACATTAATGTGTTGAACCAATGCCAGCCCCATGCCCTTCTGTTTCCTGGCTTTACAAGGGTCAGGTCCCTAATCCAGGGGAATAATCGCCATGGAGACATTACAATGACATCAGCAGGTCCCCAGGCTCAGGAACTGCCTCCCCCTCCCTGCTGGGGCAGAATAATTCATTTCATCCTGGGGGCGGGAGGGAAGGGAACAGGAAGACCTGGGCTCTGTCCACTTTACTGTATGCCCCTAAACAAGCCAGCCCGTCTTGAGGTTCCCCAAAGGGAACCTGGCCAGCTGATCTCGCAAGCTCTCCTTCCCAGACTCTGGAGTCTGAGGCCTGTATCTAAGCACCTGTAGGACCAACTGGAGAACAGAGGTGGGGAAGATTCTGGGGGGTGAGGGAGAGAGGCAGCTTTTAGCTCTGGAAGGGGTGGTAGAGGTCAAAGGTGGAACCAGGAATGTGAGGAGTAGCCCAGAGCCCCTCTATCAGGCTCCCTCCTTGTAGTGCTTGCCCTTATCTAGGAGGGATCACAAGGATGTTATGGGGTTACTGTGGAAGACCAGCCTGAGGTCACTCATCCAGGTGTCAGCTTTGCCAGAATACAACTCCAGCACTTAGGCCAGATGACTCCATCCCTGGTTTGCCAGGGCCTCCCACCCTGGAAATTCCAAATTCCTGACACCACTACCAGCCATGAAACTCTACTTTTTGGATGCAGATTCTTTGTTACTCTCTCTGGGTCTGTCTTGCTCATCACTTATTCCAGCAAACAGTAGGTACAAATCAGAGGTGTTGGCTGAATATAAATTAAATGTAGACACATCTACAAACAAACAAAGCAGCATAATCTGGTTTTTGTTTGCTTTTTTGTGGTGTTGGGGTTTGAACTCAGGGCCTACATCCTGAGTCATCAAAAAAAGGGCTGGTGGAGTGGCCTGGGGGGCCATGTCACCTGCACTGAAGTTCTGATTAGGTGAGAACTAAGGTGCCTCCCTAGCATCTAGGCCTTTCTTCTCTCTCTCTCTCTCTGTCTCTCTAAGTGCTTATAGAGTGTCAGGCTTTTTTTAACTGGCTTGTCCAAGGTCACACAAGTAGGAAGTGGTGCAGACCTGGGATTCTAGGCTACTGGTTCTGGTAAGAATGACATTCTTCTCAGTGTGCTGCCTGCTGTGCTGGTCACAAGATCCAAGACAGCAGTGGGGACACTGCCCTAGGGTTCAGCAGGGTCAGAAGGCTCTCACCGAACACTCCCCTGGGCACCATAAAGATGACAAGGAAAGGAAAAAATGAGCACCACTCCCACATCTGCCGGGGAGAGAGAAGCAGCTCAGCCCTACATCAAGCTTCCACTCAGCCCTCGGCAGCAAGGGGTGGAGGGGCAAGACAAAACTAGGGGTAGGGCCACTGTCAGCTCCGCAAGCTACTCAGAAGGTCATTTCTGGACAGCTCCGTGGTTACCTCCCAGCAGGCTAGCTGCAGGTATCCTAGACGCCCAAAGTACCACTTTAGGGACCAAGATAGAGACAGGAAAACAAAGTTGAAATAGCACAGGCAGCTTCCCGGAGACACATGACGTAGGCCCAGGACAGGGCCCTGGGGCCCTGGAAAGACACCCGCTGACATCCTGTTGGGGTGGGGCCAGACAGGCTCCCACTTCCCTTCCCGACAGCCACAGGCAGCTTTAGCCAACCTTGCCCCCACGAGAGTGAGGGCGGCCACAGGAACAAACCTGTCACCACCCCCAGCCAAGCAGGCTCAGCCCTTCCCAGCCTCAGAGCAACAGCCCCAACCACCAGCTTCCACACAAATGGGCTCCTGTCCCCATTTCACTGCTTGAAAAGAAAAAAAAAAAAAAGCTTTGAGAGGAAAAAAAAGCCTCAGACCACACAGCTGGTGGGAGGTGGGAGGAAGACAGAGCTACAAAGAGGACAGGGCCCTTTCCTCTCCACCCCACCTACCACCCCAGCCCCCAGGACCCAGGTCCGGGGATCAGAGCCGTGCTTCAGTGCAAAGCCCTACCTACCTCTTTGCCTCACATCCTGAAACACATCAGAGAGCAGGCTGTTTGCTCTGCCTGTCTCCCTCCCATCTACCTGCCTTGTCAGAACCACCAGGGGTTAAAATGCACATTCTTGGGCCCCACCCAAGGTGGGGTTTACAAATCTACATTGTAATAATACCCCAATACTTCCTGGTGACTGGCACCTCCTGCAGACTGGTGAGGGTTGGTGAGTGGGCAGTCGGCCCTGCCAGAACTGTTATGAGCAGAGCACTCTGGGACCATTTCAGCTGAGCTCAAAATCTGCTTGTCACTGGGCTCTGGCCAAGTGGCATGGCCTCTCCAAATCTCAGTGTCCCCAGTCTTACAATGGGGATAAGAGTCCCTCCAAAAGCAGGTGGCTGTAAAGATTAAGTGCTTGGACATGCGGTACATGTACAGCTTGTCCCTCAGTAAGAATCTAACAAAGTGACAGCCGCTCTGATTTCTCCAACCTTCCAGGAGCTCAGGAAGTAAGCTTGTCAGGCCCCTGGAGCAGAGGGCACAGGTGAGGTACAGGAGCCTTCAAGTCCTGGAAGGAGCAAAGCTGCCCAGTCAACAGCAAGCCCCTCCTGCCCGTCTCACCTGGGCAGGTGCAGGGCAGGGTGCCTCATCCTACAGACCCCGCCCTTCAGGGATCGGCTTCCAGGGGCAAAAAGAGCTGCAGCCAGCTTTTGTAGGACTGACAATGCCTGACCGAAGTGAGTGGTTTGAATTTCTCCTCCTGAGAGCAGGAGGTGGGAGAGAGTGTGGCCTCCTGTGTGCACACCTCACACACCTCTCGGCCTCTGGATCTGCGCCTATGCCAGGCCCAGGCCTCCTCCAAACACCACTGCCTCTAGGCCCCACTGACCCCCCTCCACCTCTGGTCCCAGTGGCCATCCACAGGATGGGAGGTACAGGCAGACCCTGGAGTCTGAACTTGGCAAGGGTCTGGCCTAAGCAGAACTGGCTGTCGGCTCCCTCTCCCTTTCAGATGAACCACATGTCCTCCTCAGCTGACAGAGGAACAAACCAGCTGTCCCATGTGCTGGCCTGAGCCAGCACAAGGTCAAGGCCATCATACTTGAGAGCAAAAAGACCAGAGCCCAAATTCTGGGACCCCATGAACTGCGTGTGTCAACAGGTAAAGCCCTGTGCCTCTCTCACTCTCAAGTCCCAACCTGTGTCATTCAGGGAGAACAGGTTCCCCACAGGCCCCCCTGGACTCAGTCAAGGATGAGAGACATGAAGTACCTTAAAGCACTTGCTAAGCTGCAGTATAAGGGGCCATGGTGTTTATGCAGGGGGAGACTGTCCTGAGGGAGCAGATGGAAAATCGGAAAGCACATGTCTCAACGTTGGACCAACCTGCACTGTAAGCCGCCAGCATCTATTTGCTCTTCTGCACAGTGGGCTGGCCTCCAACTGCACAGGACTGCTGTGAGGATCAAAGGAGCTAATTCACTTGGAGCATTGAGCATGCAGGACTTTAGGCTGATATTGTTATTACCCGCATGAGCTCGATTGCCTCATCTATACAATGGGAAAGCAGCACCCTTGTCACGGGGCTGCAGGGAGGATTACCTGAGAAAGCAGGCCAGGAGAGTGGCTAGACCTAGGGAAGTCACATCAAGATCTGGCAGCAGGAGCCCCACGTTGGAAACCCCCAGAATGATCCCGCTGTGGCCCAGGTAGACCCTCCCTAAACACATTTCCCACTTTGTAAATCCCTGTACATATATTGTCTCATTTAATCCTTTAATCCTTGTGATGTCCCGCCCTTCCCTCTCACCCCCATAGCAAGCAGGCTAGGCTTGTCCCAGGCAGGGTTAGTTGTTCAGGCCTCTGAAAAACTCCAGGCTCCAGACCCTTTGCTTATTGCTGTGCCCCATAAGCCAGGGACCAGTCTTGAAGACAGAGGAGGCAGACAACTTCATACCTGCCCTCCAAAGGGTGGAGTTTGGTGACATGACTACAAAGGGCAGACTACATAACTCAAACCGGCAAGAGCCTGACAGGCGAGTTCCAAGTCTGCCCCAAACCCCTCCTCCATGGTGTGTGTGAAAGGAGGGGAGACCAGGGCACAGCTTTCTGGAGGAGGTGGGCTCTAGAGGTCCCAAAACAGACTCAAAACAGACTCCCACACCTCTCCTACCCACTTCAGGTAAGAAGGAGTCATGTTCTCCTCCACACCCTTGCCAAAGGCAGGAAGTGTGAAGTAACTGAGGCAGGGTGGGGGCAGGGAGGCAGGCATTAGGATTTCAGAGTTGGCCTTGCTGAGTAACCTCAGGGGAAGGAGTGCTTGCCAAATCTGGGTTTCGACAGCCCTCCTTCCCCACCACTGCAGGGCAGCCAGCCCCTCACCTGACTCTGGAGTTCACTCTGTTGCTTGAGGCGGAGGTTTTCCGGAGTGTCAGCCACCATGGTGAAGGACTGCTTGGGGTAGTGTCTGCAAAACAGAAAAAACACAGTGGGCGTCCCTCTGAGGTAGGATCAGGAACCTCTGGGCATCTCACAGAGTGGCAATTTCCTCTTATCCCTGGGCAGCCCGATCCCCAGCAGCAGGACCACAGAGGCAGTGGGTGTCCACTACCAATCCTGAAAAGTGGCTTCAATACTGGCAGGAGACAAGCAGGGTGGCTGAGTGGGGAAGACAGAGCAGGCCTAAGTGGCTGCTGGCCAGAAAGAACTGTCCTGAGCCACAAGGAAACCACTGGGACACTCTCCGAGGGTTTCAGTTCACCTTTGTTTGAGGATAATCTATACCTTGGAGTCTTCCACAAAGGATCAAGGACACTGAGCCACCCAGGAGGGCCTCATCAGATTGAGAAGATGGGCATGGGGTCAGAACTGAGGCTGAAATGGAGACCAATGGAAAGAGGGATGTGGGACAGAAGGGAAAAGCGACACACATATCCAAGGGGCTTCCTGTAGACAGTGGTGAGAGAGAGAAAGCAGATGTACACAGTAATAGTTCAAAGGGCTAACAAAAAACCAAGTATGGTGGTGCATGTCTATAATCCCAGTGCTTGGGAGGCTGAGTCAGGAAGATAGTGAGTTCAAGGCCAGCCTAGACTACATAGTGAGACCATCTCAAAACAATAAAAAAAGGCCAGGCACAGTGGTTCACACCTATAATCCTAGCTACTCAGGAGGCAGGAATCAGAAGGATTTCCATTTGCCGCCAGTCCAGGCAAAAAGTGAGACCCTATCTCAAATAATACCCAATATGCACACACACAAAGAGGCTGGCAGAGTGGCTCAAGTAGTAGAGTGCCTGCCTAGCAAATGTGAGGCCCTGAGTTCAAATCCCAGTGCTGCAAAAAAAAAAAAAAAAATCAAAGGACTAACAAGTCCCAATAATTAGAGAATAGGTTTGAGACCTTTCAGATCAGATGTTACAGTTCAGGTGACAGAGAACTGTCAAACAGTTAAAGTTAATGCTGTGCGGCACTGCACAATGGACTTCTATGCCTTAGTTCATCAAATTCTCACAGCTACACTGTGCATTGAGTGCTGTCATTGTCCCCTTTGACAGAGAGGAGAATCAAGGCCACAGAGGTTAAACAGGGTGGCCATGGCACATAGACACTAAGTGGCAGAATCTGGATTTGCATTCAATCTCTTCAGGACCCAGCTTGCTGAACTAACTGTAAGTCTCCAGATGGGGCATGCCAGGGTCCTAGACCCCAGAAAGAGCTGGCTTGGAGGTGGCAGGAGGCAAGGCAGCCCAGAGCCCAGCCTGCAGGAACCTCTTCCTGCACAGAGAAAGAAACAGCATGCTGGAGTCAGGCACTTACCACTCAGCAGTGTCTGCAGTTAACGTGTTTGTCAAGTCACTGTCATTTTCTCTCTCTGCTACTTCTCCAGAGATATTTTGGTCTCTTGTTCATTGATTCAGCCCAAGCTCCCAGAACAGTGGTTAGAGTTCAACAAATACTTGTTAAATAAACAGAAGTTACACCAGGCACTGAAGCTGGCCAGGTCCAGAACTTGTGAACTTGTATCTTCTACATCCTGGGTCACGATGAAGTCCCCCAGCCCCCCAGCTATAGGAGAGGGAGCCGTGTGTGTGTGTGTGTGTGTGTGTGTGTGTGTGTGTGTGTGTGTTGGTATGTGACACAGCTGGGAGTAGGGAGGACAAATGAGCCCCCAGCTATTTCAGAGACTGGTGGGTGGCTTCTTGAAGCAGGAACCCAAGGTCTGGCCATTTTTAGCTCTTGGTGACTGCACCCACCACAGCTGTGACCACTGCAGATCCCTTACTCACAGAAGGAGATGGGTGGCCTCCTAGGACCTCCTTCCAGACACATCCCACCTGGATTGCCTGACATGCTCAAGAGCCAGCCACGAGCTGCCATCTGCTTGTGCGCTCACCAAACCAGCTGGCACACCCTGAAATGCTGGTAAACACAGAACTTCACTCCAGACCACTGGTGAAGGGCAGGATTTAGGGGTGTGAAGAACTCAACCAAGAGGAACGTGACTACAAAGGGCTCAATGCTAGGCTCTATCCCTGCCACCAACTTGCTGGATGACTTAAGCAAGTCCTTTCCCCTCTGGGTTAGTTTCACTGGCCTGGACCTAGGCGACTCTAGCTATGCCCTGCTCAGGCCCTGGATGTCCAGATCAGCCAGCAAGCTACTCCCCCAGGAGAGGGAGGGAAGCAGGAGGAGAAAAGCAAACACAGGTGCCTGCAGCTGGCAACAGAAATGGTCCCTGGATGAATGCAGGGGTCCAACCTCCAAGCTTGGCCCAGCTCCACCACGCAGCCAGGGCCACCCACGGCTCAGAAGCCCATCCAAAATTCCTGAGTGGGTCCAGGGCAGGGGAGGATCAAGTGGGAGTCTGTTCCTAGAGACGAGAGAAAAGAACAGAAGGGATGGAAACAAGATTTCTACAAGAGCTGCCTGGCCTTGAGGTGGAAGGAGGGCTTCAGAGCTGCTCTGTCCTCTAAACAGTGCCTATCTGAAAGCATCTGGGGTGTGGGGGAGTACAGCATCTATCTGTAAGTAGAGATACGCATGACAGAAGTGGGGGAATGCAGGAAGAGACCTCCAGGAAGCTGTGGCCAGATGGGAAGGGTCGATTCTAAGCATTAAGGTAACACTATGTGGAGCAGGGTGGAGACAGGCTGCAAGGTGGGAGCTGGGTGAGCACATGTCCACAAGAGCCAGTCTGCAAACCCTGGGGTTTCTCATTTGCCCGGATGTATGGGGTTAAAGAGGAAGGCCAACTACAGGGGCCGAAGGACAGCCCGACATGTGCATACACCTGCCCTGCCCTCTCCCCAGTTCTGCAGCCCCTACACACACTGCATTTGCCTCACATGGATAAACATAAACGTGCCCTCTGCAGCAGTGGGCGTCTCCAGGATACTAAGCCAGCAGGCCAGCAGGTCCACTCGACTGCTGTGTGACAGGCCATATTTACACATCTTCTCCACCCGCTGTGTCCCTCTGCTCACACCTTATCCCCACCAAAAGGTCTCAGGAGCCCCTCCCATAAGCAGCAAGTACATCAAATGAGGTTGACACGTCCTTCATGGTCCCCTTGGAGCCACCATGATCCCAATCTCAGCCTTGCTGAGGTGGAATACTAATCCCCTCAAAAAAGGAAACGTTGGGGGGTGGGAAGCCAACTAGATGACTTGGTTTATTTCGGCAGAGGTGAGGAAGGATTTTAATCCTGCGTCAGATTAACTAGATTAAAGGAGCTATGGAGCTTTCAACCTCCTACTCCTGCCCCCTAAACCCAATCCCAGGCAGAGGGTGGCAGGCATAGCAGAGTATGCACAGCACAGAACTGGCTGCATTCCTCCTGCTGGGTCAGCCCCATCCCCTCCCCAAAGCCCCCAGCCCTGGCGAGACACCCTGCCTTTCCCTTCTCCTGCTCACTGCGCTTCGGGTTCCCATGGCAACCTCATCCTCAGCTCCAGGCAGGAGAACAGAGAGAGCAGAGACCAACAGAGAGAGAGAGAGAGAGAGAGAGAGACCCACAGGGTATGGGGGCAGGGAAGACACAAACAGCAAAGGTGCCCTCAACCAAACAGAAGCTCAGGGGTTTGTGCAGGATCCTTACAGATGCTGAGATGAGTAAGAAAGAGACACCAGCTTTGTTTCTAGAAGAGAGGTTATATGATCGCCAGGGCTCTGCCCCTCCCCCCATCAACTCACTGGCTTTGGAGAGGATTCCAATCCTTCCCAAAACAGTTGCTGGCCATTCTACCTTTCTTCTGCCTCCCTGTCCTCAGGTTGAAGTTCCCCGCCACCCATCACCCTCAGATCCCAGGTAGGATAGAGTGTGTGTGCTGTGTGGATGTGTGGGTATGTCTGTGTGTATGTCTGTGTACATGCATCAGTGTGGCTTCTGAGCCAAATGAGGGGCCACACAACCCAGCTGGAACCCAGCCCAAGAGACTGGGACATGGTAAGGAAAAGAATGAGGGGCAGAGGGAGAGGCGCAAGCATAAAGCTGTGTCTCTTCCTGGCCCAGTTTGTGCAGGCCCTTGTTATCATTCCCAGGGACTGGGCCTTGTGCAGGTGCACCTTCACTGCTGACAGCAGGGACAAGAGAAAGGCATGGAGATAGCCCACTAGAACAAGAAGCCTGGGGGACAGGGGAAGGCATCCAGGAGGGCAAACTCAGGAAAAGCCTGTGCCAGCCAAGAAAAAAGGAGGCAGGACGTCAGGCAGCTATGGGCAGCAGCTTGGCCTTCAGGAGTCTTCAGGCACACAAAACAGCTGCTCCATGTCCCCTGCATGTTCTCTCCCTCAAACTCACAATCTGTGCCCATTTTATGGATAGAGAAACTGGGGCTCAGTATCAAGGACAGAGCTTTCCAATGCACTCTCCCCTACCCCAGAGCTGCCCATCCAGCTAAGGGCAGACTGATATGTCCTGTCAGATGGACCCCAGTCCAGTCCCAGCTCTCAATACTGTGTGGAAAGATGCAGTTGACAGAGCAGGTTGCAGAACAAAGTACTTCATCCTTCAAACTCAGTCCATTTCTAAACCTGACATTTATGAGACCCTCTGGGGTCTCAGGTGGCTGGATAATGACCTATGGGAATGCAGGTGGTGGCCTCTGTCTCAGGACAGGGGTTATCCCTGAGGAAATCTGAGTCACTTCCTGCTTGGAAGGACGTGAGGGCAGTGAGGGTGCTGGGGAGCTTCAAGGAGTAGAGGCTCCCAGGTAACAACAGGGACAGACCTAGGGCAGCAGCCTCACTCCCAGCTCTACTGCTAACTACATCCCAGAGGCAAAACAAGGACAGATCAGAGATCCTGAAAGCCCCACCCCCATTTTCTACTTGGAATCTCACTCCTTCTAGGCTGGAGCCCCTCAAAAACTACAGCTTTGGAGCTGGGTGCCAGTGGCTCACACCTGTAATCCTAGCTACTCAGGAGGCAGAGATCAAGAGAACTGCAGTTCAAAACCAGCCCGGGCAAACAGTTGAGGAGAACCTATCTTGAAAAATACTCAACCAAAAAAGGGATGGTAGACTAGCTCAAGTGGTAGAGTGCCTGCCTAGCAAGCAAGAGTCCCTGAGTTCAAATCTCGGCCAAAAAATAAATAAATAAATAAACTATGGTTTTCAGTCAGGTGTGGTGGCTTATGCCTATAATCCCAGCTACTTGGAAGGTGGAGACAGGCAGGATAGTGATTCGAGGCCCATCCGAGCAAAGTTATCTCAATTAATAAACTGGGAATGGTGGCCTGTGCCTGTGATTCCAACTATGCAGGAAGGGTAGATAGGAGGGTCAAGGGCCTCAGATTGACCCAAGGCAAAAATAAAAGATCCCATCTGAAAAATAACTAAAGCAAACAAGGGCTGGTGGTGTGGCTTAAGGATAGAGTGCCTGCCTAGCAAGAGCAAGGCCAAAACAACAACAACAAAAAAACTACAGCTTTGTGTTCAAGCAGGAACAATAATACAACAAAAGCAACAAGGAGCTTTTGGTTTTACCAAAAGAGGAAAAAAAAAAAAACCAGCCCTGACATCCTGCCTCTGGTAACAGCAGCTGGTTCCCAAAGCCCGTGCTGGGAACCAGGCCCACAGGCGGCAGGGAGGGCTCAGTTAACCCAGTTTCTCACCCACCCCCCAGGCCTAAGGAGGCTGAAGTGGTTGGGATAGGAAGTAACAAGGAAGCTTTGTCTGACCAGAGGGAAAAAATGAGCAGTCAAAAAGATCAAGGGTAGACTAGAGGAAGAACTTACCAGCCCTCAGGGATTAAAGACAAAATGAAAAAGAAGAATTAAAAAAATAAAAAAGCTTACACCTTCCTCTGTTGGCAATACTTGGAGCTGTATTTGCACACTCTAGCTGACTGTTTTTGCTTTGCCTCCACTCCCCAAAAACACCACACATACCCCTCCTATTCCTGTGCTACCCCCAACTCCCTAGGACATCTGATCTAATTTTCCCAGAAAGAGGGGCAGAGAATTCTGGGGAGGCAGGAAAGCCCTAGAATTCCTGACGCACCCTTTAAAAGCACTGAGATTAGCCACAGTTGCTAGAATCCAGGGACACAGACCCCACCCCACCCCTATCTAAAGCCTGGGGAAGGGACAAGAATTCATAGTCCCTGGCTCCCCAGAATCAAGGACATCTCTACCCTCCTCAGCCCCTCACCCCACAGCTTATGAACCCCAACATCTGCAGTCAATGATGAGTGGAAAGGTGCCTAGAAGGCCTCCCTTTTGCTTCCTGAACCCGTGCCCTGCCCTTACTTGACACTTCAAAAGCTAGTTCCCCTGGCCTTCAATCAGGCCTCCTGTCTGCAGGCCCCCAAGGAGGGGAGAACAGGAAGTCTGATCCCATATCCACCTCCAACCATACCCCCAACCCTGACACCAGACTCTGGAACCATTTGCATGGAGCCAAAGAAATAGGTTTGTATGAGCCAGGGGCTGGGAAAAAGCCAAAGGGCATAAACTTGAGTAAGTAATTCAGGACATAAATATTTCTCTAACCAACTGTGCAGGTTCTCCCTACCCGCCTAGAAGCTTCAAGAAAGAATTCACTGGGCTGGTGGAGTGGCTCAAGTGGTAACAGTGTCTGCTTACCAAGTGTGAGGCCCTGAGTTCAAACCCCAGTGCTGCCAAAAAAATAAATAAATAAAAATAAGAATTCATCACTGGTTCTCAGGCTTCTGTGCAAGCCTCTACGTAGCCACAGATATGCCAAAATAGCTGAAGCCTGACTGTAAGAAACAATGCTAGCACAAGTGCGTGTCTGAGGATCCACCAGGCACGTGGATAACTGCACATACAGGGCCCACCACGCCAGGCAGCTGGCTGAGAGCTCTGTACTGTGTTCACACCCCTGCTGCACCCCCAAACAAGTCTGATGCAAGCAGAGAAACAGAAGCAGCCTTTTTGCTGCTTACAGTCACTTTCCAAAACTTTAATCACAGTCTTGAGGCCCTGCCGGGGAAACAGAAGGGAAAGACAGGAGGCTTTCTTTTCTCTTGCCCTCCTCTTCCGGAGAAGATCCTAGTTGCCCTGGGGCTCAAGGACAGGCCAGGGTGAGGAGGAGCACTGAGGGCTCCCTGCACACCAAACTCATACCCTCACTCACTGGATGGGCCCCAGAGTACCAGGAGAGACCACTTGCCCCTGTGGGTTCTGCTCTGGGGTGGTACTGGGCAGAAGGAAGTGAGGTCTTGTCATCCACAAAGCATGACCAGGACAGGAATAGGAGAAAAGCTACACTCCATAAACCCCAGGACTTGGTTTATCACTGAAGAATGGGGTTAAAGGTAGGCAGAAAACAAGGAGGAAAGACAGCAACACTTGGCATATGACTGGCACCAGCAAGGACTCAGTTCCTCACTGAGCCAGGTTCAGACAGGTGCTGAGAGCACCTATCCCAGATCCACCAGTCCAGACTAGCCAAACAGAGAGCTCCACACACCTACGGAGAAGCTAGGACCCAGCAGAGAATGAGAGGGCTTCAGCAAGGTGCTGCTACTGCTAAAACAAAGTACAGTTGGGTCACAGTCCCTCAGTCTTCCTCCTCATCCAGGGTCCTTTCCAGCAAACACCCAGCTGAGACAGAGATCAAAGGTCAACTGGTATAGCTGAGGCTAGAGTAGTAAAGGCTAGAGAGGAAAGGTGAGGGGTCAGCCTGCTTCTTTGCCTGGATGCCAGGAGAGCAACAGGAGAACTCTTGCTTCACAGGTTAGAAGCAACAGGGGAAAAAAAGTAACCTGGAACTTTGACACTAGGCTGAGAAAATGCAGAGAAAACAAGGAGAGAACTCTGATTTCTTTCTCCAGCTCCGCATGCTCAGAGTTGTGGGTCACTGGAGACCCAAGAAGAGAAGTGAAAGGCCCATGCCACCCACTGGGTTCCCTGCTAAGTAAGATTTCCGCCTGGAAAGTGGAGGCCCAGAAGCAGTCCCAAAAGGAGGCTCAGAGTCCAGACCAAAGTCGTCCAGCAGCCAAAGGGTTAAGTGCCCTGGCTTCTATGAACCCCACCCCACTCCCCTAAGAAAGGAGGAAGTGGCAGAGAATCAGAGCTTGTGTGAGCCCTTAAGAATTCTAAGAATGTCCCATTTCCCTTGGGGCTGGGAGGGGTTGGTGGGGGGTAGAAAAGAAGGCCAGCTGGATAGGGAACCAGCAGAGCTGTGGCCCTTCGTCTACCCCAAGGCGACCTTCCCAGGGGCCTAGTCCTTCAGGAGGGACAACCTTCACACTGCCTCTCAGGCTGGAGATTTATCCAGTCAGTATTCCAGCACCTGGCATGGTTGACACAGAGCAACAGACAGGTGACAGATGTCTGATAAATGTTCAAACCCCAAGGAACTGAAGCTGTGGTATTAGTTGACAATTGGCAGTGGGCAATGCAGAAACACACAGCCCCTCAAAGGGGTTTAAGCTCCCAAGCCCTTTTAGACAAGTTCTCAGTTTCCCTTCCTGGGTGAACTTCAGCCACAAGAACCTCCTGAATGAGAATTAAAAACCAGGAATCTGAATACTCCCTGCCTTAGGCATGCAATAAATTGTGTGTAATTTTTTTGTTAAAAACAAAGAAATAAATAACAGGACTGGAGTGTAAGTCAGTGATAGAGCACCTGCTTAGCACACAACCAGCCCTGGGTTCAATCCCCAGCGCTATGCACATATGCTCACGCACACACAAAAGGTTTGGCTAAAAAAAAAAACTACTCAAATCAGATCCTAAATTTATCTAAATACTGATCTTGCCACCTACTTCCAAGTGATTTGACCTTCTGAAGCCACCACTTAGCAGGTGATTGTGAGGTCCAGAATTTGCATGTATCCTGAACCTGACCCTGACTCTGAGTTTGCACTTGCTACTTATGAGATGACCTTGAAGGTGGAAAGCTGCCACATTCTCTGAAACTACAGGAGATGTGATGGGCAGTGTCCCTGGCGGGGGGGGGGGGGGGGGGGGGGACACCACCACCTCTCTACCCTCTGGGTTACAAGGAACAGAGTCCAAGATAATTATACCCAGAAAAATACCATGTGCATGGTTTCCTTCACCAGGCAGGGGAAGGATAGGTCCACATCCTTCTTGCTGCCCCCACTTTTCAAAAAAATGAACTAGGGCCGGGCACCAATGGCTCACACCTATAATCCTAGCTACTCAGGAGGCAGAGATCAGGGGGAGTGAGGTTCGAAGCCAACCTGGGCAAATAGTTCACAAGACCCTATCTCGAAAAACTCATCACAAAAAAGGCCTGGCGGAGTGGCTCAAGATGTAGGAAAGCTGTGAGTTCAAACTCCAGTACAGAAAAAAAAAAAAGATGAGAAGGGCTATAGCCAAGGTTTCAATCTTCCAGAAAGGACACTGGGAAAAGGAGCCCCCAAAGCTCAGTAAAGTGTCCAGATATGAGATGGAGCTTGCCAACTGCTGTTAGGCAAGAGAATGAGGAAAGCAAAGGTGAGAACCACACCCGAGTCCAAATACAACCAGGTGTGGGTGGCAGACACCCTGCAAGTCACTTACTCCTAGCAGGGTCCAACGAAAGGAACACTCTGGCTTCACTGTCCAAGGCAGGGTATGAAGTAGAGTCCTTTCCCTTCCCCACACCTCAGTTTTCTCATCTAAAATGGGATACTAAGAGCCCTTGTTTTACCACTGTTGTGATTGGCACAATTTAATTACATCGTATCAAGGAGGGTGCAGAAGTGCTGGCAATGTCACCTGGTGATTATCAGATGGGAAGGAAGAGCTGAGGTGCCCACCCAAGTGCATGCCCCCACCAGACTCACGCATTGCAGTAGGGCTTCTTCTCATAGCCCTTGTAGTTCTTCATGTTCAGTGTCATCTTGCAGGTCTCGCAATGGAAGCATGCTTTATGCCAGAACTGGGTGGAGACAGAGGGAGGATACCCATCAGACACCAGGACTGCGGACAGGGACTCTGACCCTAGGCAAGGGCGCTCAGGGGCTCTCCATACCCCAGACCTAGACCCACAGCTGTGGGGACAACATGGAATCATCCCTGATGAGCAGAGGGCATTTCCGGTCACAGACTCTGTGACCGATGACACTACCCTCCCCACAAAACAGCCACTTGAGCTGTCAGGAGTCAGGATGGGGAGAAAGGCAAGTGAGGAAGAGCCAAGTTATAGTGGTGACAGCAGCCCCCAGAAGGTCAGCTCCACCTCCCCAGAGCCAGACAGGCCTCATTGCTTATGCATGGCGGCACTCTGGTTGCTAAGAAGCAGCACTGTACAGGAAGGGGCAGCTCCTCCAGCCTCACAAGGCCTGCAGAAGAGGAGGGTCATGACTCCAGGCACACAGGCCCAGAACTAGGTACTCCTAGTTCCCATACAAATGTGAGCCCCCATGATGCTCCAGCTCTGATGCCTGCCACTTCCTCTGGGACCCCCATCCAGAGGAACAGGGTGAGGGCTCCAGTTCTAGGCACCATACCCTCCCCCTCCTATCTCTCCTACCCCCAGTGGGTGACAGCAAGAGAGCACCCAGCAGCTGTTCTCCCCACAGGACTAAATAGCTGTCCTTCAAAGCCTTGCAGGTGCACTCTCCCAGGTGAACATCAAAGCTCCACCCAGCTAGCTATATGACCTTGGGCGCCTCTGAATACACTTCTGTGTTTGTGGAATGTATGTGAAAATACGATCCCCTCCTGGAACTGTTGGATTCATGAGAAACCACCTGCGGAGCCCTCAGCACGGCACCTGGCACCTCACAGGTCTCAATGCAGTCCGATGAATCTCAAAGATGAATTTCACCAGTGGCTGAGTGCAGTGTGTGGAAAGGACAGAAGGAGGGAGGAAAGGAGAGAAAGAGAGAGGGAGAGAGAGAAAGGAGAGAGGCAGACAGACACACTGAGGGACAGGTAAGAGTCAGCAAACTCCGGGGTCTGGAACAGAGCCAACAGGACCTATCCAGGGTGACAGTGAGGGGAACAGAGAAACAACCAATGCAATGCAAGAGAAGCAACCCTATCCCTGATGCTCTAGCAAACCCATGCTCTAGCAAACCCATGCAAATGAGATATAAACTCACCCCTGCAGCCCAGGATGAGGCCCCAAGATCAGCACAAACCATCAGCTGCCAGGACCCCAGAATCCAGCCTGACTGGCTCATCCCTGCCCCATTTCCCAGCAGTCAAAGGAGACAATCCTGACCTCCAAAGAGGCCAGAGACCAAAGAGGGGCCCAGGGAGATTTTCAAAGGTACTTAACTACAGGACTGGTTCTTGGTCATCTGTCAAGGAATTCCCCCAAAATGGAGTTCCCAAACCAGGAAGTACTTCTAAGATACTTGGACTGAATAAAGGAAGCTGAGAAGCTGAGACTCACCCTTCCAACCACAGTCCACCTCACCCAGAGACCACCAGGGTAATTTCAGAGGATGATCACCCTCTAATAGGGGCATGTTCTCTATCAAGGAGACCCAAAGGAGAAATCTAATGGTGGCATATTAGACAAAGTGATGGCCTTTGGGAAGGCCAGCTAGAAGTCTGAAAGTAAAGAGATGGCTGGACTGAGCTTGGCTCTCACCCCTAACCTGGGCCTTTCCCAGTGCGGCAACCCCACCCCTTCCTATAGTAGCTTTCAGGCTCCCCATAGTGTGGTACTTAACCCCAACACCTAGTCCTCTGGAAAACCAAAACATGGTGGTCCCTATCCCCATGGGCCTCCAAAGTGACAGCCCCATTCCCTCCCCAATGACTGGGAGGCCTTGGCAGACTGCCCCAGCACTGTCACCACCCACCCTGTCTACTAGCCTCTGCCTGCTCAGCTGCACATGACCCTGGCTGGGCCCCTGCCTCCCCCACCCCCGCAGGGGCCTGCCAGGAAAAACATTCTCTGGAATCCAGACCATGACCCACTTTCACACACATATACGCAGGGATACACACTGTCCTCAGTCTGGGACCTCCATGGCTGCCTCCTGATTGACTCAGAGGAGACAAAGGGAAAGAGCTAGACACCCCTACTTTAGCAGATGGTCAGGCCCCCATCCTGCAGCCAAGCCCTGTACACTAACCAGGCTGGGGACACAGGGCTGGACACAGGTCTATGGGCTCCACAAGATCCCTCAAGGCTGCCCTGGGGAGAAAGGGGAGCCCTATATGAGGGGCTAGAGTTCATTTCCATCAGTAGCAGCTCACCATCCCCACCCCCAGATTCCTTGCCCTCAGCTAGATAAGTCAGAGCCTGTGGCAAGGGAGGGTGGTCACCTTCGCCTTCCAGGGGGCTCAACAGCAGAATAATGGAACAAACAAATCCAAGGACCTAGTCTGTACAGTTTTCACATCTGTAAAGGAGAGCTGTAACTCTCCTAAGGCACTATGGTGTACAGTGGCTTGATGCCTGACACCTCTAGCTGCTTCATGTTACCCCCCACGACCCCTGGAAGAAGGTTCCAAGGTTCAAAAAAACCGAGCTGCTACTGTCTCTTCTTTGGGGAGGCAGGAAATGGCCAGTCACTTAACAACGCCCCTGTGAGTCAAGACCCAGGATGAAAGAAACTCTGTCTTGTCATGGTCCAATCTGGGAAAGGGACACTGTCAGGGGAAGAACTTAGTACAATCCACAGTGGCCCTTTCTGCCTCCTTCCCCTGACCCAGGAACCTTGTCCCAGAGCAAGAGTGCTCCTGGTTTAAAGGTTCCAGGAAAGTACTCCTGGCACTCAAGACTCAGGGAGCTAAGTGTACCTCGAGGCAGAAAGCTCTAATCTTGCCTGTTGTATGCAAAGTCCAAGACATCCCTATTCATAGACACCACAGACAGCCCTAGACCAAGCCTCTGATGCCAGGAGAAGCTTCTCATTCAGATGCCAGGCTCCAGAGGATGTCTACACTCAGCATTCCCTTCCCTGTCCTCAACCACTCTGTAGAAAGGAAACAGGGTGGTAAAGAAAGAAGTCCTGAAAGAAAGAATCCCCTCACTCGGGCTGGGCTCCGGCCAGTCCCTGTCTCTCCATGACTCTGAAGAGGGGCCCGGAGAGCTTCAGGTCCCTGGGCCTGCAGCCTAGCACCTTACCCTTTGTACCCAGACTGCCCAGGGTGACTGTGACTCAGGGTTGGAGTAGGAAACCTTCTCCTCCCTTTCGGTTGCCCAGGGTTATGGTTTTTCCCTACTCCAGGGACACCAGCCCCACCCTTGCCAGGTCACTAGCCTAGCTCAGTTGGCCACCTGGGTTGCTGGCTTAAAGGCACAGATCTTTGCTGCTTGTCCACAAATTCCATGAGGTCATTATTATTTCTAGTGCTCCAGCTCCTCCAGTCTCAGTCCCAGAGTCAGACGGGTGGGTGGGACCCACTTTGAGACTAATGAGAAAATGTAAGTAAAAGTATCTTTTGCAAATACACCAGCAGAAGAGCTGGCAGGAAGAACTCTGCAAGTTAATTCTAGCTCTGACTAAAAAGAGGCACAAGCCATACCACCTATCTGAGTTTCCCTTTTATAAGGTTCCTAACTAACAGGAGCTGCTTTGTCAGGCTGTTGTGTGCACCAATGCTGCAGTAAGTAACAGTAGCTAGTATGAATGGGTGGTCACAAGGTGGTTGAAGAGTATTCTAAACTTCACTAGGAAAACGGGCACCACAGCTGCAAGGATTTTGCCTCTGAAGGAAGAGGGGGGCACTGTGACAACCAGAATCCAGGAGCCCTCCCTAATGGGGAATTCCAGGGGAGTTGGCAGCAGACCAATCCCCAAGCCTCCCTGAAGGTCTCCACCTGTATTCAAAAGCTGGGAGAAGCAAGCCAGCCGTTAGAAAGGGATTTAAGATTCCTGACAATGGAGTTCCCCAAATACAAAGTAGGTGCACAAAACAGGTGCTCGATAAATATTTGTTGAATGAATGAGGTCACCCTGTTTCTCCCCAGGCTCCAACCACAGAAATCCTCTGGGAAAACGAATTTCATTCTCCTTCCTCATCAGCTGTACATATTTATCCAGCATGCAGAGCACACTGGTACTATGTGCTGGGGCAGGGTGGCCTTCAGAAGTGACAAGGTTTTACCCACCTATGCCTTTGGGAGATAAGGCTCAGGGAGGAGAAAAGGCTTCACACCAAGGACTTGTACCTCCGCCACATCACCAGCTACAAACCATAGGGGACTATAGTGAATCAGACCAGTCTAAGTTGACGCTCCATGACTGTAAATGGAAAGCCTTGGGAACTTGGTTAGCAACTGTGCCTATGGGACTGATCGTTTCCCCACTACTAAGGAACAGCCCAGCATCCACCAGGTATAGGATCCAAGTGCCTATCCTTACTGCCTTAAGGGGGTGGGGAGGAACAAGCTTGATTCCTGACTATTCCAAGCCTCTGGCTTAGTGTAGGGAAGATAAGGTCTCTCTTCCTATAGGCAAAGACCTCAGGCCAGGACAGTAGCTCTCAAGGGGTCAATTTCTCCATCTAGGAACTCCACGCTCAAGTCCTGCCCTACCAACGCTGACTCCATCACCTGGCAGGTCAGCACCTTCCCTTGTGCCTACAATGTGTCTCCTTTTCTCCGTGCCCAGTCGAGCCCAGGAGGACACTGACACAACAGTTCTCAAGTCACCTTCCCTCAAGAGCAAGTTCAAATGTGTCAGAATCTCAAACCCCACCTCCTAACCTGGACTCAGAGGCCAAAGATCAAGGAGGAAGCTGCCAACCACAAGCAGGAAGGGAGAGACAAAGTATCCAATGAACCACCCATTCCCAAACAAAACGTGCCCCTCTCCTGCAGCCCCGCTTCCTGCCAGTTCGTACAGAACGGGGCGAATATCTGAACTTGGAGCCTGCTTGGGGTGGTGTGTACAAGGCACGAAGAAAAGGGCATAACAGAAACCTCCCCTGCAGGGGGAGGAAGGGAGTAGAAGAGCAGCGCGTTGCCTTAGGGTCTTAGGGAGCTTCCACCGCAGAATCCTATCCCAAACTGCTGGAAACACCCAGCGCTGCTCTCCACCCCCTCCAAAACGTAATGGCAACCAGATGAACGAGTCCGGCACAGGCGGGGAGGGCGGGGGTGGGGGGTAAGGGCCCCCAAGGGACAGTTAATTTCCAGAAGGCCACCCTCCCCTCCCCCCAAACACCTCCTCCTTTCCTCAGCTTCCCCAGAACTCAGCCAACCCCACCCTCCATTGCAGAAACCTGCTTTGAAAAGTTAGCTCTTTGTTCTACAAGCCGGTTTCCAGGCTGAGTATAATTTCAGGAGATCTGTGCGAAGCGCCCCCCACCCAACCCTACTCCTGCACCCGACCCCGCCCGGTTCGGACTGGGCCGCCCAGTCCCGGGAATTGGCTTGTAATTTGAGGTGGGGGTTGAGAAGCTATGGAGGAAGTCTGTAGATCCCCGAACCACCGAACCATCAACCCCGTTGCAGGTCGCTCAAAAAAGGTGTTCCCGCAGTGGAGCTCAGGGCCTCCCCCAAAACGCCATTCACCAGACGCGACATAATTTGGCCAATAGCCCCCGCCCCAGCCTCCAGGCCAGGAAGCTCAGCCACCCGCTGCCGGAGCGGCGGGTTTCGCTGGCCCCCGGCCTCCGCCCCGCCCCCGTCCCCGCCACCCCCTCCCCCAGAGCCCCGCGCTTCCGCCTACTTGGCGCTCGGCGCCGCGGGGAGAGGGAGCGGCCGCCTCCTCTCGCACTCCGGGCCTGGGGGGCGGGACTGCACCTCTAACTCCCCCCTACACACGCCACCCGGCCTGGCTTCCCTGTCCTCTCCCGTCCTCCCAGCCCCGGGGCACACAGCCCACCCTTCTCCAGCACAGGCGCGCGCCTCGCCCTAGATCGCAAGGCTTCCAGACTGGGGTCTGTCCCCATAGCCAATGACACTGCTCGCCCTCCTCTTCTCCTGGGATCGCAGGGATAAGGCGGCAAAGACCCAGCCCCTCTCTCCACCTCCAATTGGGAGCGTTGCTGGGGGATTGCCTAGACGCTTCCCCGGTGTCGGAGCTCACCTTGTCCAGACAGTTCACCTTCTCCGTGGGGTACACGATCTTGCCGCACCGGGCGCAGTTGGGGTTCATGGCTACAGGGAAAGGCTGGGGCAGGGACGCCCGAGCTCTCGCACGTTCTCTTTCCCTAAGCTAGCTGGCGGGAGGCGGCCGCGGCTGCAACTGTGCAGGCGGCTGCGACGGCGACAGGATCTGAGGAACTGGCCTCCGCCTCCGCCCTCCTTCCCCTAATAAACACAGCGGGGAGGAGGGGCTGCACCGGGGCGGGGACGCGCCTCGGCCACGGGCAGGGCGCGCGCAGTGAAGCGCGCTCCCGGAGCGACGTGGGGCTGCGTGGGGGCGGGTTCCGGGTAGGGCTACAGGGCCAGGGTGCGAGCCCAGTGCCCTTCCCGCGCTGGAGGTGGCGTCGATCCAATTGGCTGCACAACTGGGGCGCCCGGGCTCCACGGGACGGGCAAATCCCTCGCACCCGTCGAGGGTGGGGCTGAACGCTTCTGAACCCCGGAGCAGATTCACCAGCCTCGGGGACTTTTCCTTCTACCAGTCGATACCTGGTGTGAACCTGCAGACGGAACGGGAACCCCCACACATTGCTCCGCCCCCTGAGTTAGCCCTTCCCGCCCACATCATGTACCACATTTGTTGGGCGGAATCAGCCCCTTCCCGCTGGAAGCAGCACCTTGTAACCGGCTACTTCTCTCCCCGCACCTCTGCGGGGCAGCTTTCCCCAGGGTTCCTCGGATCCGGGGACCTACTGCTTTCAGCTTGGTCCCCTTTCCCCCTTCATCACTCTCTCCTTATCCTTACTCCAATCTGTGCAAGGGCTGCAACAGTGTCTTATCTCCCAAAACAGCCTACTCCAAGTGCTATAGCGGCGCGGGGGTATAGCTCAGTGGTAGAGCATTTGACTGCAGATCAAGAGGTCCCTGGTTCAAATCCGGGTGCCCCCTCGGTGACTTTTCATCTTTTGATCTGTTTTTCACGTCTCACCTCTTATACTGATTGTAGCATTCGGTTAGGTTAAAAGAAAACAAAAACGAAAGAGTTCTTTCCTCATTTTCTAACCTTAGCAAAAAGCTTCCGGTTTTACTTTGTAATCAGAGGAAGGAGGAGGTGTGCAGACACAATCAGGTCCTAATCATTACTGATGCCAAAAATGTGGGGATTTCTGGGGCCACCGCCGCCACTCTTTGGTGTGTCAGGCAGTTGGAGACGCCGAGTTTGGGGGCCAGGATGACTCCGCGAAGTCGGCGTTGCTTTTCTGATGGGGGTAAGGGTAGGTCACAAAGAAGGAAACTCACAGACATAGTCCTCCTCCAACTTCAGCTTTCTTTTTCTTTTTGTTTTGTCCAACTTTCTTTATTACCAGTGATGCAGACATGCTGTGTTCACACTTCCCTGTTGCTCATGATGAAGGCCGGAATGAAAAGCACCTCAAAAACGTTAAACTGGCTAATGCACACCCATCATTATAATACAAACTAATATAAATTAGTGCAGAAGCTTTCAAGCTTGAGCATGCACCAGAATTACCGGAGGGTTTGTAAAAACGCCTTAAGTGTCTGATTCTGTAGGCCTGGTGTGGGGAGTGGGCTAAGAATTTGCTTTTTGAACAATTCTGCAGGTGACGGTGGAAGCCAGGGACTGCACTTTGAGAACCACTGGAGTGTTATTACAAGGCCATCAAGTTTCATATCCTTAAGATGCGGACAGATAAACCTACTGGCTGCTGGACTGACAGTATCACTGTTGGGCCTGAGGGAAAAACCTTAAGTGTAAAGGACGTCCCTCTCAACTAGGTTTTGCCCAAAAATAGGAAAAATAAAGGAGATAGGGAGAGGCATACTGCCTGTGTCAAGGGGGCAGCTGAGATATTTTAAACCCGGAATCTGATTGTGTCATCCTTGGAGACCCCAGGGGAATACTCGCCTGCATTTTTTTCCCCAGTTCCCATTACTGTGAACTGTGGAGCTGGACAGGGAGCTGGTGCAAAGCTGCAGCACAAAATCCAGACTGGAAAAAAAGCTAACCTGTGTTTCTCCCCTTTCCTGAACGCAAGGCTCAACTTGGCAACTGTAGGTTATCAGGCTACAGACCTGCCTTACTCATTTTTAACTTATCTTATGTCTATCCCATATCCTCTTAAACTTCGCAGTATATAAACTGTCTGAACGTGGACGCATCCTCTTACTTTTTTGGAGTCAGGGTCACGCCATTTTTTTTTAACCCAGAATCAAATTGTAATTGACATTAAACCTGTAGGTTAGTGGACATCTGTAAAATGAGAATAACTCAAATGCATTCATTCCACCTACTGACAGTACAACTGGGCTTCTCCAGTAGTTGGGACATTAGGCTGGAACCTACTGAAGTTGCTCCTCTCTAATTCTTATAAATCAGAAACATTACATTTAGGAAAATTTGGCAGTGGAAGAGACACAGGAAATCTTTCAATGAGTTCTGGATTTAGAAATCATCACCTGAGTTCTTCTGAATGCCTGTGAAAAATGTAAAGTACAGATAAGGGGGCACCCGGATTTGAACCGGGGACCTCTTGATCTGCAGTCAAATGCTCTACCACTGAGCTATACCCCCTCTGCTGACAAATGTTAGCTAAATTCTTTTCACATGGGTTGCACATTTTCAAACTGAAAGCTGTTCATTTGTTCAAAATGACTAGCTTTTTTGCTAGATGATGCTGAATTTACCAATAGAGAAGCACACATTTAAAAATCAACTGAAAACATAGTTGCAGTTTGAAAATATGTGAATTTAAGCACCAATCTCTTTTTTTCTAGGCTTGGTTCTTTATCCACAGCCCCCACTCATGGCTCTACCCTAACAAGTCAGAGAAATAACCTAACTTCTTGCAAAAACAAATAGGAAAACATTCCCCCTGGTTTCTCCAGAATACAAATATCAGCTAAAAAGACATCCAATAGAAGGCCTTCCTAGCTATACATTCTAGTGGTCCCTCATCTTTTTTTTAATGGAATAATCACTTCATGACCCTTTCTAGAGGCAGGACAAAATTTCAATTGAAAGATACAATTATTATACTGAGTTTATAATCTAGAAATAAATGCATAAGTGAAAAAACAAGGAAATACTTGAAGGAAAATTGTTGAAATCAAAAAACAATAAAACTGAGCAAGGTGGTATATGCCTATAATGTTGGCATTCAGGAGGCTAAGGTAGGAGGATCTAGAGTTCAAGGCCAGCCTAGACTAAGTAGTAAATTTGAGGCCAGCCTGGGCTACATAAGCAAGATCCTGTCTCAAAATAAGAAAATCAAAATAAATTAAAAACATGATGTATTAGGGAGGTACCAGGGGGCTATTTCAAGCTAGACATCCATGGAAGGCATTTTAGTTTTTCATCATCCTTTTTTGGGATGTTGGGGATCAAACCCAAGGTCTTAGTCATGTGAGGCAGAATCTTTATCTCTGAACTACATCCCCAGCTACATGGAAGGCCTTTTTGAGCAGGTGATTTGGCAGTTAAAACCTCAATGATATCTAGAAGGCAGCCATTTGGCCATGGGGGTGGGGCATTCCAGGGAGAGAAAATAGCTACTCAAAGTCCCTAAGGCTTCAGGAAGCTGGGCCAGAGGAAAGCAATTCAAGAGAGCTAGAGAAATATCCTGGACTGTGGGGAGCCTCACAGGCCAAGGTAAAAAAGTATGGGTTTTATGATGAATGAATGAAAAAGACACTAGACAATTTTTTGTTTGTTTTGCGGTCCTGGGGCTTGAACTCAGGGCATACACCTTTGAGTCATGCCACCAGACCTTTTCTGTGAAGGGGCTTTTTGAGATAGGGTCTCATGAATTATTATGCAGGTACCTAAATCACCCATGGCAAGGCAGCCACAGCACTCATAGGTTGAATGACTCAGGGAAGATAGAGAAAGAGATGAGTTAAAATTATTCCTATCCAGTTGTGGTGGTAATCCCAGTACTGGAGCAACTGAGGCAAGAGGATCGTGAGTTTGAGGCCAGCCTGTTATACATTTTTATTTAATTCTTTTTTTCCTCCACTACCTGGGTGGATGGTGGTGTGATTTCCTCATTTTATGAAAGAAAGAGAGAGAGAGAAAGGGGTAAGTGTAGTAAAAAATCAAGAGTTTCTTTTCTGGGTTGAGGCTTAGTGATAGAGTGTTTCCCTACAACAGCCAAGGCTCTAGTTTTATCCTCAGAACCAAAAAGAGGTCCTTTTTAAAACTATGTTAACAGTCAACAATTAAGACTAAGGTATTTGGTGCTTAATAGCTGTCTATACTTTTTTCCCTTCTACCTTGGCAACACTGGGAATTGAACTTAGGCTTTAATGTATTGAAGACAAGTGCTCTACCTCTAAGCCATACCCACAGTAGAGGTTCCTAGTGACATTTAAGAGGAGATGATGCAGTTGGATATCCAGCTAACTAGAGTTCAGTGGGCTGGAAGTAAAATTCTGGGAGTTGTCAGTGTATAGATGATAATGATGAAAGAGATAAGTTATCTCAGAAATGTACTCAGTTTGGCTCAAACTGGCTTTTCAGAACCACTGTCTATACCAGGTGCTGGTGGCTCACACCTATAATCCCAGCTACTCAGGAGGCTGACATTAGGAGAATCATGTTTCAAAGCTAGCCCTGGCAAATAGTTCGAGAGACCCTATCTTGAAAATACTTAACACAAAAAGGGCTGGTGGAGTGGCTCAAGGTGTAGGCCCTGAGTTCAAACTCCAGTACTGAAAAAAAAAAAAGAACCACTGTCAAAATTTTCAGAACCTTTTAAACAGCCAGTTGATTTCACCTTGGTAGGGGTATATTTGCACCAAGGAAATTGGCAAAGCCTACAGCACATCCCCCACAGGACCTTTCTCCCCCAGAAATTGAGGCAGGATTGCCTAAGGAGTTTTTTGGTTTTTCAGCACCACCCCAGGAAACCTGACACAATTTCTCATTGATACCAAACTACTGTCAATCACTACAGACACCATCTGGATGCTACAAACCAGGTCTCCCAAGCCAGGTGTTCATCTTTTTATCAGGACACCGTTGTAACTGGCTGGTTCTGTTTTCTCCAAAAAGTAAGCAGCAAACTCTTCAGCCAAGGTGGGGTGGAGCGTGTGGGAGGTTTGGAGACAAGAGAAAGTGCGTGATAGTTTGCCAAGTGAAAAAGTGAACATATTCTGGTCTTGGTGTAGGGTAGGCAGCGC